AAAGGTGCCTGGCAGTCCCGTCTCTCGACGAAATTATATATATATATATATATAATATTATATATATATATATATATATATATATATATATATATATATATATTATATGTATATATTATGAACTGGTAATTATGAAAGTGTGGTTTAATAGTGAATCATAAATTTAAAAAAAAAATTAGTTTATTGTGTAATTCGTATAATTACACAATAAGGTCATTGTCATACGAATTGCGCGATAACCTAATTTTTTTTTTGTTTTTGTGTTTCTTTTTTTCTTTTTTCTCTTCTTTTTCTTTTCATTTTCTATTTAGTCACCTTTTATAATTATCGACTAATATATATATATACTGACACGAAAGTAATGAAGTATATGTATTTGCGACCATAAATTTAGTACGTACTTTTTGAATATTGTAACGATGAAGGACGTTTTCTATGAACGTAACCGATGGTCAGCGTATAGGAAGAAAAAAAAAGTAGAAAGAAATTCTAACTGGTATAATAATTTATCGTAGCTTCAGAACAAACGTAGATTATTTCTTACCTTCTCTCCTCTCTCTATCTTGCTTTATACCTATTTCAAAAATTATACATGACGATTAATAAAATATCTAAGACTGAATTTTAACATGCTATTCAGAGAGGCGATAAACGATGACATTTTTGATTGAAAAGTTTCGAGCACAGAAAACGAAGAGAAAAAGCGTGAGAGGGAGAGAGGTAGGGAGAGATGTGTGTGTGTGTGTGTGAATATATATGTGTGTATGTGTGCGAGTATGTATCTTCAAAAAAACGATATATATACATATTTTTATTGATTAAGAAGAATTTAGGTTTTTTACGAAATCCTCGTTCGTTTTCTGTACACTTTTATATACATTTTTTTCATATAACGTATCGCGTTAGGTGAAAATTCAAACGATACAGTATTTTTCTTCTCTTTTCGCGCGTTTACCATATATTTGTTAAATTTGATAATTGTACGTAAGAAAATATCTAAGTATTGTGTTTGACAACTATCCCCGTTATACGCGTTAATACGCGTTATACATACAAAAATTATACAAGGAAAGAAGGAAAAAGAAAAAAATTACATTCAAAGTATGTGTGCCACTCGGGAAATTATTATATATCAAACACCTTTTTTTATACAATATAATACAAAGTATAACTATTATTAAGTTTTATAAAAATTTTTGCATAATATTTTACGTCGAAAAATAAAAGAATAAAAGTCTCTCGCTATGATAATTTATCGAAGTATATATATATAAAAAAAAAATTATACAACTCGACGATATCCGATAAAAAAAATTGTCCATTTTACTTTTCGAAACTACTTTCATATATGTTATCGTTAAGTATCGCTCAATGTAATTATATACCTATATATGTATATGTATACCTCTTAATGTAAACCTCTAGTATCTATGTATAGTATTTTATACGCTTTCTGACGAATACGCGAATAGTTTTCTTCTTTTTTTTTTCTTGTTTTTTTTTATATATACTTTCTTTTCAAATACTCGTAATACACTGTCGTGCGAGAAAACATTGTGGATTCGAAAATTCTGATACTGTTAAATAATTGTTAAATAATATAAACACACTCACACACGCACACACATATATAGAATAATATTAAAGATTTGAAATCTTCGTTCTCAAATTGAAAAAAGTCGACAAATATTCTTGGCAACTTTTAAAATCCTGTGTGTATCATTGTTTTATTATTATTATTATTATTATTATTATTATTATTATTATTTACTATACTTATTACCATTATTATTATTATTATTATTATTATCATTATTATTATTATTATTATTATTATTATTATTATTATTATTATTATTATTATTATTATTATTATTAATATTATTAATATTATTATTATTATTATTATAAAAATAACGATAACAAAAACTACATTTTGCGTTAATAAATTAAAAAAAGAAAAAAGAAATAAATTGCAAACATTACAAAAGTCTTCTTTTTATAAACACACATGTAGCTATTAAGAAATTCTTAATTATTTTTATTATTATTATTTTAACATCATTCTAAAAATCCCATATATAAAATACACCAGAATTATTTACATCACAAATCCAGATCAACAATTCTGTCGATTCGAAAAAAGGAAAAAAAAACAAAAGAAAAAGATTAGAATTTTCGGATTCACCCTAAGATTCTCCCTCGTTCGAGGAAAGTTATTAATTTAGAAGAACAAAGAATAAAAAATATAATAATAGAAAAAGAAAGAAAGAATATACATAATAATAATAATAATATATATATCGATATACCAAAGTCAATGATTTCACTTTTTCTTTTTTTTTTTTTCACGAATGAGTAAAGAGACTTTTGAAGAAAAGTTTGCAAGGGACGTGTGTGTATGTTGTTGTTGTTGTTGATGTTGTTGTGTTGTGTACTGAGCGGCAACGAAAATAGAAATTTAGATACATACATATGTAGTAAAAACGGAGCCACGACTATTTATTGTATAAATGTCGAATTAATATTTAAACAAATTAATTAATTAATCGATTAATCAATTAATTAATTAATCAATTAATTACTTAATTAATTAATCAATCAATCAATCTATCTATCTATCTATAAGAACGAGACGTGTTAGGCTAACATAAAAGAGAGGAACGTATGCTTGCTTGTACAGTATACATGAGAATATATTTTATATCAGCGCGCAGTGCGCGCAATATTTTTTGTATGATATATCCTCTCGCCCGTACCCTCTGCCCCAACCCCTCTCTACCCGAAGTAGAAGCATTTTTATTACCTCTTACAGGATGACGGTGAAAAATCTGTGATGACAAGAAAAAGAAAGAACAAAGAAAAAATAAAAAATACCAAACAAACAGAAATAAACAAACAAGTTGCGATATGTATGAAAAAGCCATTGTCGTGTCATTTGATTTGAACAATGGAAGAGAGGAAACAAAAGAAACGAACGATTCACCGAAGAAAATAAAACCGCAATGCTCAAAACAAAAAAAAAATAGAGAAAAAGAAAAGTCAATATTATAAGAAAAAAAAAGTATCTATTGTGATTTTTTAAAGTATCGCGGGAATGCGACATTTGTTAGAATTTATAATTTACAACGAGCATATACGTCATACATATTTCATTGAACAAATATGTGATGACGATGAGATAATATAAAGTAATAATAACATAGTGATATTATACTTAAATGTTAAAGAAGGAATAAATATAATAAAAAAAAAAAAAAAATAAGTAAATAAATAAATAAATAAATGAATAAAAAACAATTTTCATCGTCATTTTCACGCAATATGAAAAAAGATTTGTTCGTCCATTTAAAATAATATATCATAAGGAGAGTACGATTGATTTTTTAAACTAATGCATGTATCAATTTTTTATTCAAGAAAAAAAAAAAGATATTTTATAATCGTATGTTTTTTTTTTTAGATCGAAATGTATGAGACAGTATCGAAAATATTTCTGTGAACATTTTTTAACATAGAAAAATAATTAAAGTAAATGAAAACTCACTTGCGAATTAACATTTTTGTTTTCTTTTGCGATAAAATGTACGTGTAATTAAGTACAAGCGTCGTGTCACAGTGTTCATCGTTTGGTGATATTAAAAAGAAAAAAAATAGAAGAATTCTGGATGATAATAATAACAATAATTATAAAGATGAGGATAATGATAATTCGTGGGTGCGATATTATAATATATAAACATAAATATTAAAATTAATTATTAATTTATCGTTGCTTGTGTATATATAAATATATATTATTATATAAATTGCATTTTAGATAAAGTATATTTATTTGTCACGTTTTTATTTTCATTGAAATTATACCGTGAGAATTATTGTTCACGTATGGATGTGCGCGCATGTGTGTGAGATCGTTTGCTATTGAAATACTTGGTCCAGTTTGGATGAGAGAAATTTAATTTTATTTGTGAAGGTGTATAAAATAGTAGAAACAAGTTTATACAAATGTGTGTGTGTGTGTGTGTGTGTGTACGTATGTGTGTGTATATGTATAAAATTGTATGTGTAAAAATTGTGTATTCTCATATATAACATTAGCTGTAATAATTTAATAAATACTCTATATCGGAACGATACGTTCAAATGCTAGTTTTATTTTATATACCAACTGTTTGATAATGTTTCTAAGATAAGTAAAAAATTAAAAAAACGATAAAACTAATAATAATAATAATAATAATAATAATAATAACAATAATAATAATAATAATAAAAAATATATATATACATTTTTATATATTTAATACACATTTTACTAAGTCAGCATAGTTTGTGCATTGTGTTTACTTATTCATCCGCTCGTACGCAAAATTATTACATAGGATGTCCCAACCTAAAGTATTGCAAAGTATTCTTGTCAAAACACATATGAAAAAATTCTTTATTTCATTTCCCCCCCCCTCCCCGCTGCCTATGAAGAAGACAAAAGAGAGATTAGATATTCTTATTCTTTTTTCTCTTTTTTTTTAACTAATCATAATATTGCAAAAAAAAATAATTAATTCTTCGTATAATTATTTTTTACTGTGAAGAATAATCTAAAAAGAGAGACAAATATGAAGTTTTTCTTTTTTTTTTTTTTCTTTTTTTATTTTTAATTATGACGTTACATAATTATACATAATTACGATTAATCCTTAATATATAAACTAAAATAAAATTTCGATAATAATACATAAATTGTGATGTTTTACATGAGTCACTCTGTATATATAGAAACGATACCTACTTCCTTCTTGGAGAGGATTGCAGCTATGTGAAATAAATAGAAATAGATGGACAAATATATAGTTAATAAATGGAAATATATGAGAATGTGGAAAAAAAAACCAAAACAAAATTATTTCATTAATAATTATATTTATTAAGTTAATCTCATTTATCGTATAATAATATTTATTTTAACGAGTCTCACGTATGATCTCGAAACTATTTCATCTATTTATCTCTCTCTCTCTCTCTCCCTCTCTCTCTCCCTCTCTATCTCTCCCTTTCTATCTCCCTCTTTCGCTCTATGAGCTCCTCTCCCCTTCTTCTTCCATATTCCTCTTCCTGGATCTATCTTCGTTTCCCCCCTCGAAAATAACCTTTGACAAGCTGCATGTAGTTTAGTACGTCGATCGTCGCCCTCTCGCCTCGGAATTATACTGTTTCTCGGAACGTTTTACATTTGCTTCATTTTCGCGAGTGAAAGTTTGCTTATCTTCTTCTTCTTCCTGTTCTTCTTCTTCTTCTTTTATCGCCTTTGTTTTTTCCTTTACTTTTCGCGCTTTTGTTCGATCGATCGATCGATCGATCATCATCATCATTGTATGATTCACGAATAATAAATTCAAACTTCCATCGAACAAGAGACAACGAAAAACGATATGCTATTTTGGAATTAAACAAAAATTGTACGTTCATCGTTCGTCGGACGCGTAAGAAACAATATACAATATTTAAAAAATGTATATATGTTCTCTTCCTTTTTTTCTGTCGCTTACAATACGTTAGTACATTTTTAAAAACAAAAAAGTGATTAACGATTCTTACTGTATTATCCGAATTAATGTAAAAAAAAAATTAGATCTCTTTTAAAACAATCATTTATAATCTGATTTTTATTTTCTACTTGAACGACGATACAATATTCTAAGAAAATTATTTATTTTATAAATACTTTAAAGAGAGAGAAAAAGAGAGAGAGAGAGAGAAAGAGAGAGAGAATTATGTAAGTAAAAATATTATCGCTTTTACATGGACGAGAGGATACTTGTAAGTTCAGTTATGTGTTATGTTTTATTTCGCGAAAATAAACAGTCTTGCATCTCGACGATGATAGATATCTTTGATCTATCTTTGGAATGATCAATTGATGTGCATGCGTTTCCTATAATATGTGCAACATATGCATGATCTATTATCAACAAAATTCACAACGATTAATAAAAGATAGTGATATTAAAAAAGATAGTGACTTAATATTTATTTTATTATCGATTTTATTCGTTAGATTTCTTTGAAAAGATAACAATTTCTTATAGAAAATAAAAAAAGAAAAATAAAAGTCGACAAATATATATTATTAAAATGTAATTTTTTTAATGTTAATTAATTTCCTCTTAATTACTTACTGAAACTAAAATTTGTTAAATTAAAAGATTCGTTTCGATAATCATTTTTCGGACAAAAATCGAATCAATTCCTTTTCGTTTGTCAATTAATAATTATAATTATATTATATTTTGTGTGTTAATCAATAATTATGCTATACTAATATTTGATGTAATACTTGATCTAATACATGATTTAATACATTTACCTAATACATTAGCTGTCAGAGATCATGCGTTCGAACGAAGTCAATTTAACATCCTGGACGAATGTTCTGACGTTGCATCGAACTTCCTGTAATGAGAGCCTTTACGACTGTGCCATGAAAGAGTGCATCGCCGCCGAATCGATCGATTTAGATCGAATTTGTGCCGTTATGGAAAACGCAATAATACCGATGACGAACTTACTATGCAGATCATGCAATTACACCAATTGTCAAGTGAACGTGTCATTGATTTTAAATAAATTGGAAACCAGCATCGAGGGTATCTTTTTATCGAGGATAACGAACTTCGATGGCTGTGTTTCGAATAGCATCAAACCTGAGGTAAACAAGAAATCAAATATTGTTCGACGACAAATAAAAAAGAAAATATGTATCGCATAGTAATAAAAAAAAAAAAAAAAAAAAAAAGGAATTTATGTATACTTTCTAACACAATTAATATAAAAACGATATAAAAATGTACACAATTCTATTGTGAAAAAAGTAAACCAAAAAAATTAGTAAATAAAAAGTTCTATTAATTACGTTAACATAATTAATCGTAAATGGAATCTTGTAAATATAGAATAACATTTTTTATTAGATCCTGGACTGCTCCGATCAAAGAAATATTGTCGATAATGACGATATAGAATTGTATTGTTCGCGAAAATCAACAGTGGCCATTCGTCGAACTGATTGGAGATTCCTTTTTGTCTCTGTTATCATAGTAATAGCTGGTGGCTTAGGAAATACTTTGGTTTGTTTAGCCGTTGTACTGGACAAAAGGCTTCACAATTTAACCAACTATTTTCTATTATCTCTCGCAATTGCCGATCTTCTCGTCAGTCTTTTCGTAATGCCAATGGGTGCTATTCCTGGATTTTTAGGTGAGTTTATTTTTTTCATTTTATTTTTTATTTTATTTCCCTTTTAATACCCCTTTAAAGTACATCACAGGACAGATTTTAGGTTATTGGCCGCTCGGCATCGTCTGGTGTAACATTTACGTGACCTGCGACGTTCTCGCATGTTCTGCGAGCATTATGCACATGTGTTTCATTTCCGTGGGCAGATATGTAGGCATTCGCAACCCATTAAGAACGCGAAGGACCTATACGAAACGTCTCGTTGTCCTTAAAATAACAACCGTATGGTTACTAGCTATGCTGATGTCCAGTTTTATCACCGTATTAGGTAAACTCTCGAGAAACGTAGTAAAAGGAATAACTTTTTTATAAGTTATTACATTTGATTGGGAAAATTTAATAAAAAAAAAAAAAAAAAAAAATTCGCGAAGTATTTTACAAAAGAGAAACGAACTTAAAAAAAGAAAGATTTCATATGCAATATATTCTGAACTATCGATAAAATAGATACTCATTTTTATCGACGTTCGATAAAATAAATTTATATCTCGTAGGCTTGATCGATCCGAAAAACATAATGCCGGAAACAACGACTTGTGCCATTAATAACAGAATTTTTTTCATCTTCGGATCCTTAATTGCATTTTATATACCGACAATCGTTATGGTACTGTCTTACGTATTGACTGTACAATTACTTCGAAAGAGGGCGCGATTTATCGCGGAAACTTCAAATGACGATCTATCGCTTGGGAAATTAATTGGAAAATTTGTTTCAACGAAAACTTCCTCGACCGAACGCGAAAATACAAGGTATAAAACATATACGTATAATTTAATAATAACGTTAAATTTGTAAATTCGAATATAGAATAATATTATACTTTGTCGTTTGTTTAGATCTCTTAAATTGTTAAGTGGAAAAACAAATGGAAAGATTCTAGCTGCAAATGCGATAGCTTCCAAACAGAAAGCCAGTAAAGTTCTTGGATTGGTATTCTTTACATTTTTAATTTGCTGGGCACCATTCTTTGCATTAAACATTATATTTGCCATTTGTCCAAATTGTTTTGTGCCGCGGCACATAACAGACACGTTTTTATGGTTGGGTTATGCATCTTCCACTATAAATCCTATCATTTACACGATTTTCAACAAAACTTTTCGAGCTACGTTCGTACGTTTATTAAAATGCAAATGGTTCAGATAGTAATTCTCAATGAACTCTAGTATTATGTATTTTATTTTTTCTTACATCAGCTTTTTGCTTTCCACTTATAATTTTTATGTTCTATACGATATAAACCAAAAGCACGTATTAAAATACTAAAAGACAATGAATTATTATAAGGTACGAGTTTATTACGATAAAAAGAAAAAAATAAAAGAAATAGACAATAGTAAAAAAAAAGATCTTTAAAATTACATTTAGTAAGCCTTAAAATGGATAGCAGATTAAATATCAATGAAAAAAATGTATTTGCAATTTATTTATTTTTTGAGAGGCTAAGGGTGTCGTTTCTTTGTTTAATAATTTGCTCTAATTTGCTCAAAAATCAAAACAGCGTGTCAAAGTAAAAGTTACATTGATTACAAGTAGCATAATGTGTGCATTATATCTGTGGTGCATTTTCTATCATATATCCTAAGTGTCATGTACTTGAACTATTGATCTTTTCCTAACATAGTGATATTTAAATATTACACGTGAAGGAAGATTTAATATTCTCAACTAAAATACTCGTTAAATATTTAACAAATATGTTCGTGCGCAAATAGTTAATTATGCAATAACATCTTCCCTTTGATTTTTCTATCTTTTCATATATACATAGGATAATAGGAAATACATCATACATTTTATAATTCACCTTCTGTATCTTCGTTATCATTAACTTTATATTTTATGTACTTTGGTACAATTCTTTTACTTTTTATTTTTTTTTTGTTTTTTTTTTTGTTTTTTTTTTTGTTTTTTTTTTTAACAACAACTTCATGAAGCATTTCGTTTGTAAGTTAACAATACATAGTTACAGTATTATAAATGTAAGGTGATACATATAACTGGAAGTAACCCAATAAAAAATATCGAATGATTTCAGTTATACATTTCACTCTGAATATAAGTATGCATATGTATGCGTGCACACATATACAAATTGTTTATTAATATAATGTGTTATACACCAATAGGTGAATACAATGTTTCAAAGTTCAATTCAATGCAATCATTAACCAATGTTACAGGATTCCACAATATCCTTTTGAAAGTACAAACAAATTAAATGCTGTTCATATCTACATTCTAATGAACTATAATCTAATTCTAATGAACTATACACATCAATATCTTAATAAAATGTTAAGTATAAATGACGAACTATTCGTCAGAAAATAACATTTCAACAGAGAATGCATTTAATACATGGAAAGTATATTTTCATCTCGTATTCATTTTTTCAATATGATAGCTGAAATTTGAAAGACTAGAAATAGAACAGCCAATTTTTGATAATGGTAATGTTAATGATGATAATAATAATAATAATAATAATAATAATAATAATAATAATAATAATAATAATAATAATAATAATAATGATGATAATAATGATAATGATAATAATAATGATAATGATAATAATAATAATAATAACATGAACACAAATTATTATAAAGATTCAAGCAAATGTGTAATTTGTATAATAAGCAACAATTTAAATATTAATTTAAATATTAAAGAACAAATATAGATCTGTGTTTGTATGTATACGTATGTATTGATTTTTAAAGTGTATATACTAATGTGTAAATGTGTATAAATTTTTCATTCTATATTTAAAAATGCTATTCATCAAATGTGTATAAAATTTACCTTTGTTTTGTTAACATACTTACAATTGTAATGCGTGTTTTATATATAGCAAAGTAATTTACATAAGAAAGAATCGTCGCAAAGCAAGTAGAACGATCGCTGATGCTAAAATTGCTATTAGAATACTCCAAAATAGGTCATTCGAAGAGGACATTGTTTCTATTTGAGGATTTAAATGCACAGATGATTGAGCTTCTTGCGTTTCACTGAAAGTTGTTTCCGTACGACGTCTCAATTCACTTCCACTAACATTGTCCGTGTTCTCTGCAAAACTTGTTTCAGGTGTGGGTGTATCGTCAACCTATTTAAAATTATATAAATTTAAACCATGAATACACAAAAATAATGCAACATATACAGTAACAAAATAATAGCATGTACTTTTAGAGCTATTGTATCTAACATATTTTGTTCCTCTTCTGTAATAGGTTTCTTTGCTGTATTTTTGGATAACAAATTCACCACTTTTCCACAATTCTCACATTGCCAATCCAATGATCTGAAATATTAAAATTATAAAAAAAAAATGATACAAATACACAGAAGATATTAAAGATCATGACTCGTTAATCATTAAAAATAATTATAATAATTAAATATACTTTTTAACTAGCTTTTGTCTTTCCTCAATACTGTAATCTAAAGATCCAATGGTTCCATTGCCAGGTGTAGGCATAAAAGCAATTAATGCTAGCAAGGCTGTTCTAATACTCCATGATGGCTGCCAAGTTTCAGGATGATAATCGGAAATGCTTAGACAAATCTTTTTATTAATCTTAAAGCGACCATTTGGCTAAAACAAATAATTCCCTTTTTTTTCATATCAGCCTGAGGAAATAAATATCATTTTTTGGCATTAAATAAAAAATTAACTTACTGTTAACAAAATAATATTTGGAGGTTTCATAGGATATTCAGGTGGTAATAAAATTCTTCCATGGTAAACGCCTCCTTCAAAATCAGTAGAAGGAGGTCCTTGTATGGTAAAATGCCATTCAAAAAGATTATCATCTAAGGGATATGCGCAATACTCTTCCGTCGCTTCATGAAGTTCTTGAGCTTCTCGCATCAATCTTTTGACAGCTGTAATATGAATCAATATTATTTCATTTTTAATATTGACATTAAACACAAAACAACCTGTTCAATATATTACAAAGATTAGGAAAGAAAAGCCATTAAAAATAACAAAAACTTGCCTGGACTTTTTACATTATATTTCCCCTCGAATGACATTTTCAGCATACCGTGTCACGCTTGAAGGTTAAAAAGTATTAAAGGAAAGTCAGTACTTTCAAATGATCTCTATGAAATAAGAAATCTGATATCAAAATGTATTTAAATACTTGTGATTTATAAACTGACGTAATACACGATCGTCTACATTGCTCACATCTTCCTTTGTGTACGTGGCGGTTTATAATGTGCCATGAGATTCGTTTAGCACAAAACGAGAAATCTTTCTTTTACCCGAATCGACGTGGCTCTTTGCCAAAAATACGTTCTTTCCGTGGAAAAATAATAAACTGAAGTCTGCTAAATTGTTCAAAAGATATCAACCAATATCAACGCAAAGTCAGTGAAATCTAAATATATAGTAGTTAAGATAAGAAGATAAGTGGGGGAAATACCACCAGATCGAACTCGTTTCTAACTTATCCAACTCGTTACTAACTTCGTTCTATATAATTCGAAATGAAAATTTTTCTGATAACGATGTGTTTATAATAGTGATGTAAAATGGTGATATAAAAAAAATTGTTTCATTGTGTTATTATTTGTACGATTACATAAAAAAGAAAACGAAGAAACGTAACGTATATAATATTAACTAGATTAATCATTTATAATAACGATATTTATCAAAAATAACCTCTCTTGATCTCTGATATTCTATAAAAATTGATAAAAATACTTTAAAGTACTCATATGTGTCTAATAAAATTGACTATGTATTCCTTTGTATTTTCATTCAATCTAATGTAATTTAAGTTTCACGAAAATTTATTATATTTTACATTGATCAAATCAAAATATAAAGGAAATGTAGACTTACAACATAAAATTTTCTCTTTTAATATTTTATTGTTATATTATTAAAGCATATAAATAGATCGATCGTAACATTTATCATTATTAATATTCTCAATATACGATAAATTTAATTTGTGCGCACACATTCTGTGCTGCTTGTAGAAGGATATATTTTATTTTTGTATGTACTATACATTGCCAAGATGCTTATTCCTAAAGCTTTACACACGAAGAAAAAAATATATCACATTACTTAGTTTCGTGGATTTCAAGATCAAGTTCTATATAACATTGATCTCAAAAGGTTGTACTATTTAATATGATCAATTTCCTTAACATAAAATATAATTGCATACAATTACTTGAAGTTTTTACGTTTAATGCCAGTGATGTTGCCCAGGGTTATACAGCAGATCAAATAATTGTAATATTTGCTGATATTTGTGCAGCATATGGTCAATTTTCATTTTTAATATCATAATAAAAAAATAATACTGAAATTTCAAATAATAAGAGAAACAAATATTAAAAAATAATATATATATATATATATATATATATATATATATATATATATATATATATATATATGCACAAATTTCTATATGTGTACTTAAATTTGCTGAGATTAGAAGTTACAAATGAATTAATATGTATTTGATTAATTAGTAAAGTATATTATTATTATCTAATATATAATAAACTTTCTAAATTAAAGAATTATTTTAATTAATACTCAAATAATTATTGGTCCCTATAATGGTTCAAATAATTTTCTGCTAAATTTGAAAAAAAAATTGTCACGATTAAAAGTAATAAAATAAAATACAAAACTGTAAAAATTCTAAGAATATTTTCTAAGAATAACTTAGAAATATTTATATTGATGTATAGTACCCTGATATTTTAAAAATTTACTGACTTTGTATCGAAAATAATATGTATCATTTTATGCAACATTTTATAATCTCAATCATATGTAGCAACTTTATATTTAAATTTGTAAAAATTCTATATTATAACTTCATACTATTTCTTTTAATTTTATAGATATAACAAATATTATTTCTTTTTAAATCATATAAGAGGCAAATATTTTGTGAAATTTCCTTTAGAGATTATCATTTGTAGTAATTATAAATATTACATTTCATAATATTTGGTTTTGTTTTTAAACAAATAAAACTATTATTACTGTGTAACAATATAGCTTAATGCAATATAAAAACCCATTTAAGCGCATATAGTACATATTAATGTTTAAAATATTGAAATTTATTTGATCTGTAAGTGCGCTAATGACGTTATATTTGACTATTGTCATTACTGTAACTGTATATCATAGTTTTTTATTGCAACAATATTAAATCAATAATTAATTCAATAATCTGCATGCAATTTTGAAAAATATAAGTTAAACATAGATATTCCATCAGCTAATTTCATTAACACTTAAGAAGTGAAGATTTCTATTATGATAATATTAAGGCATTCTACATCAATTTCTTTTTATTTTCTATAAATATTTAGAATCTCTGTGTTCAACATACATAATGTAAAATAATTATGTGGGAGGCAATGATCTATCAATTTTGGGAATATTTCTATATATTCCTCTCTCTTTTATGTAAACATTAACATATCAACACCTGTGTGGTGATACATTCTGAGTATATGTATATGTGCATAAAATGCAATTACTGAAAAATTATGCAATATCAATGTGTATTATCGAAAGCAGTCTATTTTAGGTAAAACATTTGATTAGTCGGATAAGCTCCTCAAGAACTAAATAAATTATCTCTTATTTCAATACCACAAAATAATCCATATGTCCATATGTACTTTTTACATAAAATACGTGTTAGAATTTTAGCACCTTCCTTTAAAAGCTTTAGTTTATATAATACCACAGTTTGTCACATTTACTTTACATTAAAGTTTATATATATACATATATATATATATACATATATATATACATATATATATATACATATATATATATACATATATATATATACATATATATATATACATATATACATATATATATATACATATATATATATATACATATATACATATATATATATACATATATATATATATATATATATATATATATATATCCATTATATATATTTTTTTCAAATAATCCAAGCTTTAATGTAAAGCAAATACAAGGAATTTTGCTTTAGCATTATTCCTTTTTTCATCATAATTTCATCTGTAGATAATTATTGGAATAGTAGAACTTACAATTTCAAATATTGTTTTGCAACATACATGATATGCTTTGCTTAAAGTAATATTTTGTGAGATTCTTTGTTCTCTCTCCATGTTCTTAAAAAAAAAGTTTTATATAATTCAAAATAGATACTAAATGTGTGTGTGTACATCTACTAAAATAAAATAACTTTGGATATTTGTCAATACACATACATATATAAGATATAATATTAAGTAAAAAATATTACTCGAAATTAATTTAATGGACAAAAATATGGATTAATCCGTAGGAAGTAAGTTATTGTCTGTTAAAAATTATTTCAACAATTCCATTTTCGTATAAACTTATCAAATATATGAACGTGCATAGACTACAAAACTGAGATCTTACACTAAATGATAAAATTAGGCCATACAAATATTTTGTATAAATACAATTGGCATTCAAATAAATTCATTTTTCATTTATCACATTTATCATTTATCCTTATAAGCTTGCTTATATGTATAATTTAATTTTGTAGAATAATAATATTTATTATATTCCTGTTTTTTTTTCTTTTTTATGTTTAGTATCACTGGTCATGGTACTTTTGAATTTCTTCTGCCAAATTTCTTTTTATCAATTTTTATAGATTTTAGAATCTAAATAATTTGCAACAATTTAAATTCTATTATTTTAATGAAGAAAAATGAAAATAGTAGAACATTTTTTGCCATCTATTATTTTACACTTTTCTCTCTCTCTTCCCACCTTCCCCCTCGTGTTGTATATTTTATATAATAGAAAAATACAAACAATCCTCTTAAATACAAATGGATCTTCTATCAGCTATCATTAGTCCATTCGCCTGTTTCTTTTAAAGCCCTATCTGTTAATCGTTCTATCTCAGTCAAAAGCTGTTCAGTCTCCATATCAACACATACCATATCTGCTTCTACAGGATCCCATTCTAAACTGTTTGGTGTTGATACTCTAGACCAGGGAGATGCTGTCAAACTAGAAGGCTGACTATTATTAATTGAAGTTTGTGATCCATCAGTACTAATTTTATCATTATCCATAACTGGCAGTGGCAACCCTAAAAGAATATATTTAAACAATCATTTTAAAGTTTTATGCTATTTAATACTTTATGCATCATCAATATAACGAATTACCTTCGTGTTCCCATTCAAGATCTAATGAGGAGCCAGGTGTAGAGGAAACACAAGTTTGCTGTTTCATTAAATTTCGTACATCAAGTATTTGTAGTGGCGTATCTAAACCAGAACTAATAGATTTGATATTATTAAAAAAAAATTGTATGTTTACTGTTTTACATAATAAGCTTTACATTATTTAAAGTGGACCACATATACCTCGTAGAAGGATCATTTCTAGAATTTAACCTGGCATATTTGTTAGAACCTCTTTGCCATCCCCCTTCGTCTAATAACTCTAAAGTCACAGGAACTCCATGTTTTTTCTATAAAATATATAAACTAGAATATGTAAAGCATTAATAATAATTTATATTCTATTAAGAATGCTATATTTTTTTTTTTGCAAAGCTGTATACATGTTGCATAAGCTATTAACATACCCTTTCAAAATTCATACAATATACGCTTCACTCTCTTTTACTAAGAGTTAAATAATGTACAATTAAAGAATTTATTTGATTTCAATCGAAAGATGCTTATATTTTAGGATGAAAGGCAAATGTAGCTTTATCAGAAAGTAAAAATTATATGCATGCAATAAATTATACTTGACTAGTGTGTATACTTTTTATACTAAATATAATACCTTAAATATTGATGATCTTATCAAATTCTTGATATTAAATTTTATATCAAATTTAATATAAACTTAATATTTCCTCTAAAGAATCTATATCATCAATATTAATTCAAAATATTAAATTACCTTAAATTGCTTTAAGGAGAGAAACGATAACAGACTGTCCAGTAAGCATAAGGATCAAATTTATAATTAATACAGAACTCTTACTTGTAGATTAAAAGAATTCTGATTCTTACGTTTTTGATCCTTTAGGTTGTTCTTTATCTTCTTCTCCATCTATAAACTACAAAATTAATAAAAATATTATATATATATATATATATATATATATATATATATATACATATATATACATATACACATATACATATATATACATATATATGAATTTAATGTTCAATTTTCTATTTTTAGATCATATTAACAATTTCTAACAATTTCTTTTTTCTGATGTAAAGAAAAAAATTTCATGTAATTTATTATCATGTCTATATCACACTTTCGGTTAAATCACATGCAATATAAGATTAATTAGTTAAATACAAACATACGGTCTAATCTCATAGTAAACATATTTATACAGTCAATATTCTTTAATCATTAATATTGTCAAATTAGTCATGCTACTTGCTATTCAAGAAGAGAACATACATATTCCATAGGCGCCATTAACGTTCACAAACAAAATGCAATAAAAAATAGTGTACACTAGATTGAAATAAAAAACAATACAACTAATATCTACCTCAGCTTGTTCGTCTCCTTGGCAGGACATGCCTGTATGCCTGTGATACAACCTTAAATTTAAATAATACATAAAATTTACCAAAAAACATTGAGAAAATTATGATTTTATTATTACACAAAATGTATTATGCGAAATGTAAAAATAATGAAAATAATAAAAAAAAAAAAAATGATAGATATAGTTAAGTTTTATTGTCAATAAAGATGCAGATATATCACCGTGTTTAGCATCATTTTAAAGAAGATATAACGGTTATTACAATAGTATCTAACCTGTACGATAATGAGTCGGTGACTTTGGCAAAACATCGGCCGAAACAGGCCCCCATGACCTGTCAAATCACGGCGTCTTGCCGTTGGCGTCATCTAACCGATCTATAATGAATATTTAAATGCCAGTCTTTAATTACCACGTAACACGCCCGTAAATTGACAGTTAGAAAAAAGAGACAGCGCCCCTTTATTGTTGTGAATTGCGGACGTCAAACAAGATAGATCATCCTCGACCATGTTTAGTACCGTATGAATAAAAGCAAATACGAACAGCTGCTGTCATGCGCGATCGTTCATTCTCATTTTAACATGCGCATGTTCTACGTCACAAGTTATGAATTAAAGTTATTTACTTATAATATATACATATTATATATATATTTTACTAATTGTGTATATATATATATTTCTTATTACATATACATATATTTTTTCCATTATATTTATGTTAATTTTTGTATAACATAATTTAGGAATATAAAATTTATTAATACAAATTAAAATGTACTAATTGTATATAAGTGGATGGTATAAAGAAATGTACAATGGAAAAGTACAAAGAAATAAGACAGATTTACAAGATACAATTTATTAATGACAAAGGTACAATACTTTGAATAATTTAATACATACGCTTGTATTTCTTTACATTAGGTCTATCATCGTTATCATTAAATTTTAGAAAGTTCAATTATGCTGAATAAAAAATACTCAATTTGCACCTTTAAGAGGAACGTGTATATTAAAAGTTTCGTTTGAAAATAAATTAAATTATGGTGATACTATTTCTTAGCGCATTGAAGATATACACACATTAATCAACAATGATTCAAAAATATATCTCCAGAATATTAAACGTAACAACGGATACTTATTGATCTAGTAGTGGTAATTAACATTTTGATATTATGTAAAGATATTTGTACATTTGTATGTATATTGCATGATGTATATATGTATTGTAAAATAGTTATAATTTACATTCAAATCGAAATGGTATACTGTAGATAGCAAATTCTAAAGCATTTTATATATTACATGCAAAACAATATTGTTATATTCATTAATATTTTGAGAGCGACAACTTAATGTCTAAGAAAAGCATCATATTCATTTAATGATAAAAAGAAATACATTTATAACATAAAATGTGATTCTATTAGTGTTTGGACAATTAGTTATATCTTTATATATTACATTATTTCAGTATCTTTCAACAAGAACTATTGTCTTTTATATTTTTCTAAATAGTTTAACTACTTATTAACGATTTTAAATTAGTAACTTGATGTAACATTTTATATATATATATATATATATATATATATATATATATATATTTATATATATATATATTTTTTTTTTATTTGTACACTATTTTTGTAAATATTATAGTGCTCAATAACACTCATGCTGTTGCACTTGAAATATGATTTAACATGCATTATTTGTAATGTGTATCAGAAAAATAACTTTGAAAATATAAATTCTATCTTGAAATATCTTTGGAATCTTAGTAAATTTTTTTATATTAATAACATTTAATGAGTTCTTGCACTATACTGTTCTGAACATTTCCCATTTCGTTAACATTTCACAATTACACACATTATATTATTACATAGATTTAACAATATTTAATATTTTTAGACGAATTTAGAAACACGAGTGAAATCAGAAACAACATTACTTTTAGTAGTATTGTAATGTTAATACACGATTTCATAATTTGACAAGACACGAAGAAGACTACATTATGTTTTAAAATTAAATATGAGTTCACAACACACTTGCCAAATTCATTTGCAAGTATATGTATAAGTATAATAGGAAAAAAGAATCTAAATACTTTCATGATCGCAAAATCTTAAATTTTAGCAAAATGTTTTAATGATATATGCAATCAGTGTGACTCAGGGTCAATTTATTCCCAATAGTCATTCTTAATTGCAAATTATGTTTTGAGGTAGACAAGTATATTCTCCAAATAGCTTTTGATAGCTTTTAATAATGCTAAACTGAAAGTAAAACTTTATTTATCAACATAAATTGGCACAAAACATTTTTCTTATTTCTACATTCTTAATAAACCACAAACACAGTTTAGCATTTTATCTTGTGTTGAGTAAGACTAAATCTGATATACTTCTCGACTCATGTTGTACATGTTATATCGATGAAATACTAAATATACGATTTTTGAGCTTTACCATTGGTAATTTATTAAAATATGAAATATATCGAAGGCTCATAAACAAATTGTAATATTTTATAATACTCAAATAAATTAAAATATCAAAGTCGTTAATTCATTCATTCATATAAATAAAAATATCTTATATGTTCATAAACATTGCATTACTATTGATTGTAAATATACCAGAATGATTGCTTTATCAATATATGTATATATATACGTTTATTTGGGACAAATATTAATAAGAAAATAAAAATATTAATGCCAGTGTAATAATTAGTATACATATTATATTTCTTAGATATATCTCTTATAATATATCCTTTATCTGACCAAAAAGTGGTCCAACATTAGATATATAAAAATATTACACTATGAGAATCGGAGCCGCATATCAAACTCTTGAAACTGCGATATTTTTAAACGCTATTTTCAAAATACATACACATTTTTCTTAATTTATGTTAAAAATTTTACCATAACTCAAATTTTCTTTAGTGCCACACAATTTTAATTTTCTGTTTCCACCATACGTATATAGATATATAAATAATGCTTCTCGCAAATAATATTAAAGAAAAAGTGATATAATTTAGATAAGCATTTTAGATATGTAATAATGTGCATTACTTGTAAATATACACACACAGCTAATTTTACATATACCCAATATATCGCAATGATATTATCTTGTCACTCTTGTATTATTAATTAATCACGAGTAACAGAGAGAGATATCATTAATTAATATCATTATTAATTTGATAAAGTAATTTAAATTTTCTGTTTCTAGGTATTGCCTTTGTACCTATTTGTTACCTGAGTTAATATATGCTTAAGGTGTAAAGATGATAACGCAAAAAACAAAATAAAGTTACCTATTTACCACTCGTGTCTTTTTACAATATGCAGTTTATTTTAAGTATTCACATTTTCAGGTTTTTTCTTTCTTCTTTGTTACGTTTTCGGCTTACCAATATATAACTACACAGAGAAGTGCATTAGTATTATAAGTTTTTTTTTCTTTTGTATAACGTTTGTGTAATGATAATACGTTTAGGATTGAATTTTGTAAATTTCTTATTTATTAAAAAGTATTATCTAAAATTCTATTCCTTTTTATTTTTCATCTTAAGCAATCAAACGCGAATATTCTAATATAACACAATACTGCAAATATTTATTAAAACTTATTTTGCACACAATCAATGTGTACATCATAGACACATTACCTTCAGTTAGGTACGAGGTATTGATGTATATGAATTACACAAGAGGCGCATCATTGCCAAGATCCATTTCTTCTACAGTTATATATAGACCTTCTTCTTCGTATGTCGATTCGTGCTTCGCTAAAACTTTCAGCAATGGTCGTAGCTTCATCCACCATTGATACGTCGGAATGCGATGCCTGCGAATAAATTTTTTAATATAATATATACAATTATATATGTTTAATAACACGCAATATATAAAAGAAACGAGATCAAACACTTACTCGAAATCAGTAACTTCCATGAGTTCTGTGAAAGGTGTGAACCTATATTGTCTTCTAACGATACCTAACATTACTGCACTAGTTGGATCCGTTGTAACTGGACGTCCTTCCGCATTAGTATATTTTTTAAATTGCTCGCTAAACCATTCAACAGCTTTAGAACCCATTTTAGTACCCAAGTTACGATCAAAAGGAGTCGGTGATCCACCTTGTTGCATATGTCCTTTCAAAGTCAAAAATAAAATTAATTTCTCAAATTTGTTACAGCTTTAGTATTTTTTCTTATATATGATATTAATTTATGTTACATATAATTACCGATTATATTCATCCTACAACTGAACAATCCTTTTCCTTCTTCACTAAATAATCTCTGCATGAAGTCAGTATTATAATTTAAATTAGCATTTTCATTTCTAAGAATAAGTCCTCTCTGCACACCTTCTGACATTTTTGCAGCCATAGCTATTACATCTTGATTTAAATCCCTAATATTGAATTTTTCCTCAAAGATATAAGCTGCATCAGCACCACCGGCTAATCCTGCTACAGTCGCTAAATAACCGCAATAACCACCCATTGTCTCTATGATAAATACGCGACGTTTAGTACCTTGTGCTGATTGACGAATGCGGTCACAAATCTGAAAAAATAATCATATAAATGAAATTTAAGATATTATATAAATAATATTAACGACACGAAATAATACTAGAAAGTACCTCAGTAATTTCGTTTAAGGCAGTATCGCAACCTAAAGAAAATTCTGTCCCAGGAACATTATTACTAATAGTAGCAGGTATCATAGCAATAGGAATTCTAAATTCTTCAAATTTGTCTCTTGCATTATAGAATGTAAGTCCTGTTTGATAACCCTATATAATTAAAAAAAAAAAAAAGAAATAAAAAAAAGGAACAAAATGGTTAATAAAAAAATATTTTTTAAACGTTATAAAATAGATATGCAAAAAAAACTTGATTGTTTATTAACCTCGAATCCACCTATAATAAGCAAAGCCTGGATTCCAAATTCTTTTAATTTTTGTGCTATTTGAGGTAATTGATCATCTCTTGGAGGAGTACGTTTTGTTCCTAAGTAAGCGCCACCTTGTGCTACCCATCCTGTTACAGAGGGCCAATCCATTAATTTAAACTTTCCAGATATAAGACCCAATATACCATCACAGACTCCATAGACCTAAATTGCATAATTTTATTGATAAGATTGATAAAAATATAAAAGATATATCAATTTATTTTTCTTTAACATACCTTATCACCTCTATAGATGCAGTTTCGTACAAAAGAACGTACTGCAGCATTCATACCACAAGAAGGTGAACCAATATGCATTACAGCTACCGTATGATGATCCTACAATAAAATAGAAATATGTATATATATAGTATATGTATATATATATTTTAAATATTAATAAAATCTCTCATGCTACATGCATATTAAAACACGAATTTTTTAAATGTCTTAGTATACACAATCTGAAAGAATAATTGATATACAGTAGATACATCTTACAAGAATTATTTGTTATCTATTTTATAATACATCAAGATATGAATTTACTATTTAACTCACTTGTCCACATAAAGTGAATTGCTTTTAGAAAGAAAAAGAAGTAATTAGAAATTTTTAAGAAGTGTTAAACACATTGGTAAGAAGGGGAGTAAGCTTGTGACTATTTTATATAAATTTACCTTTGTTAATGTAGGACCATTCATTTCCTGAAGCAATATTACATAAAGTATATATATTTATTTATTTATTAAATATATGTAGACATATATATATATATATATATATATATATATATATATATATATACACAGAATTACACGAAATAAGTGTCAGATAAAATAACGTCTATAAATGATTATTTTATGCATATTAATTTTTTTTTCTTTTTATTTTTTCTTCCTATTTTTTTTCTTTTTTGAATCTGTTATTAACAATAGTTTGACCGTTATTTCACAGTTTGACCGCTATTTCATATTTGTATATAAATACCATTTTTATATTTTTTTTATTATATCATAGAATCAAAAATCTTCAAATATTAGAATTGCAATTACATGCAACGATTAATACCCATATAATTTTATTAGTACAGATGTTATTAATTAAGACTCAATTCCATTTGTAAGAATATACATATTAAGTAAGAATAAACATAATAGAAAGTGTCAGAATATTACCTTTGCATCATAATCTGCAGGTGCTTTCAATCGAGTCAACATCTTGTATGTTTCCAAGTTACGAGCGAAACCTCTGTAAAATATAAAAATCATGTGAACATAGAATCAAATACACATGTATTATTAAATTATTTAAATTATATTATTTCCTTACTTTCCCCGAAGTTGAACTGCAAGATCCCAATTTTTATCCGCCATAGCTTTAGCCACAGCCTTGGTACGACGTACACATTCCATTAGTGGCAACCTAACAGCTTGATTTCCATCCAATGTAACAACGCAAGCTTCTGTTTCAGGCGTTGCTTCCATTAAAGCCATTACAGCTTCAGCACCCATTCGGCATCCCTATAAAATATTACCAATTTCCAAATAAAAAAATATGTGCACACATTTGCATAAAAAAAATTTTTTTTTGCATGCAAAAAAAAGTTTAATCCATGATGAGAGAACATACCAACACTCTATCAAAAGCAGATGGATTACCACCTCTTTGGACATGACCCAACACAGTAATCCTGGTATCTTGTTGTAATTTATCAACAACAACTTTATGTACTTTTGCAGCAGTAATAGGATCACCATTCCTATCTACAGCGCCTTCAGCTACAATAATAATATTCAATCGTTGCCCAGTAAGACGTTCCTGAAAATATATTTACTATTTAAAAAAAAATATGATTACTCTTAATTTGATATAAAAAATTTATATAACGCTGATAAAGTAATTTTGTAAGCAAGGTATTAATCAATCCAAAATAGTTATGAAGAGCATAGAATATACGACTTTTTAATTATTATAAAATACTTCTAATTGCATTCCATTTTATAAGAATTATGAAAATATTTATACAATTAATACTGGATTATAATTCTATTGAATTTTATAAGATTTCAAAACATCGTATATTATGTTTGCTTTATGTAATGTTAGATTTAAAAAAAAATAATGAACACAGAAGCAAAAAAGGAAAACAAACTACAAATAACTTACCCCATTTGAGTAAGAAATTAAGAATAATTTATATGTATTCTATTCATACAAAGCTTTTCATCATTTATGTGATTATGAATTAAACTGTAAAAAAAGCTAATTTTTAATTTATGTAAAGATGTGATGTGTAAAAAGCAAAAGCACATTAATTTCTCTTTAAAAAATGAAAAAAAAAAAAAGGTTAGCAAACCTGCAATAATTTTTTGCAGAGCTTGTTCGGCCAATCCCGCTCTGGTGGCCATTCTGGGATGAAAACATAATCTGCTTCAGAACAGATAGCTGCCACTAGAGCCAGGTAACTGTAATGGTATGTCGTGAAAACTAGCTAAAATAATATGTACTACACTTCTTAAATACATTTTCATTGTCTTATTAAAGTCATAATATAAGGGCAAATTTTAAATAGGATAAATGGAATTAATCAAAAACACATTTGGCATATCAAAGAATTTTCATTGATAGATACTATATATTTAAAAAATCAAACACTCATAAAGAGATGTAACTAAATATATTGAATATTACTTTTGGTTTTAATATGAAATCTAGCACTTGAAATATATGAATGAATGTCCTTTAAAAGTAATGGGCTACATTATATTTTATAAGAAATTTAAATATATCTTCCTACAATTAAAGAGATCTAACTATTCCACGAACTGTTACTAGGATTCAAATAATAATGCAGTTAAAAGCACGTTACTAAAAGTATTCACAGCTGACAATTTGATCAGACATGCCTTCTGTAAAATTTCACAAAGTTCGTTGACCCAATCACCTTTTGATGGACATTCAGGAAGAAATGAATAGCAAGCTTCAGAAGCCAAACTCGAAGCTATTGTTAAATACCTGGAAGCTTCTAATTTCTGATTATATGAAATATTTTTTTCCAATCAAAATAATAAATCTATACATTTATAATTCATTTGTCAAATATGAAAGGAAGATTTTTGTCCACTCGCCCGTGTTTATTTATATCGGAGGAGAATTTTAAATGTGGTACATATTTTTAACATTGACAACCACTCAGCTATTAAAGCATGATATTAGATAAAAAATTTTTTGTTAAAATCCCATTAGTTAAAAGCAACAAAATGAAAATTTTTGAAAATTCATAAAACATGCCTGTTCCAATTTTTTACATAATTTTTCAGGCCAGTCGATGGGAGGTGGACATTCTGGGAAGAAAACATAGTCTGCCTCTGCAGCTAGAGCACCCACAATGGCCAGATACCTAGCCAAATGTTAATTTTAACTTTTAGACTGTGCCATATAACAAAATGCAGTAACCAATACCAATAGATAGGTCAATATTAAAACGCAAAGAAATGTTCAAAAAAGTAGGAAACTTGTATCAGCTCTTTAGATCAACTATAATAACATAAAAAATTTTCATCCCACCTAATGACTAAATATGAAATGAATTATTATTTTTAATATACATTAAATTTTATATTATACATACCCACAATGTCTGCCCATAACCTCCATTATAAATGTACGTTGATGAGAATAAGCTGTGCTAACAATAGCATCAATACTTTCTATAATACGATGTAATGCAGAATCTGTTCCAATAGTCATATCAGTTCCACAGAAATCATTATCAATGGAACCCACCATACCAACAATATGTAACCATTTGTACTTTTCACTTTGTTCAGGTGTTATTTCACCTAGTATGTAATTATTATTATATACAATGCTGAAGAATATAATTATTATAATAAAATCTAATCTTGTTTACACACCAGTTGCTGCAAGTTCTTTTAAAAGGTCAGCCCATTCTTCTTTGAAAAGATTTGCACCAGTTAGAGAACCATCACCTCCAATAACAACTAAATTGGATATTCCATTTGTTACTAAATTTTTAGCTGCTTTTAAACGACCAGCACGTTCTCTGAATTCTTTACATCTAGCAGATCCTATCATTGTACCACCCTAAAAATTGACAAAACTACAATTCACTAAATTGTAATAAATTTAAAACTCTTATCAAATGTTAACTACTAACCCTATGAATAATACATGATACGGATGACCAAGTTGCTTCTACTATATTACTTCCACCATCAACCATACCTTGATAACCTTCTTTGATAAAGAAAACTTTGCAACCCAAATATATGCCCATTCTTACAACTGCCCTTACTGCAGCATTCATACCTGAAAAATAATATGTAAATATAATATGTGATTTAGTATACTAAAATTAAATATATTGATTACAATTTATATATTTACCTTGCGAATCACCACCACTGGTAAAGACAGCTAGGCCTTTACCTTTATGACTACCTGGTTTTATAAATTTGGTTTGTTGTAATAAATCTTCCGCCATGATTGAGCCGCAAAATTGACAATTTTTCTATAAACAAAATAAAGTAAAAGAAAGGAATTTCTAAAAGGTATTTTGTAAGGGATTAATTATACAAAATATTTATATAATTTACTTTTACAAATTATTTTTACTAATGTTATTTACTTAATGTTATTACTCTAAATGCTATTTACTTAAAACAGTTCCAAATTGCGAATCACAAACACAAAGTACTTCAGAACTTTCTCTTGATAAGTCACAAGAACTTGATTTATCATCGGTATATCTATATTCAATATCAGATTCTTTTTTAATATCGTAATCTTTATCTAATATAACTGGTTTATTATATGCAAGAGATTGCATTGGATTATCAGTAGAACAATGATCAATATGATTTTTCTTCTTAACATTTATCAGTGGATAGACATATTCGTTTTTGGAATGTATATTTTTCTTTTTGTTGTAACTATCCATATTTGAGACTAAAATTAATGATAAACAATATAAATTAAAAAATGATAAAATAATTTAATAACATTATTAATTATTGTTTAATTACTGTTCTTATCCCTTAAAATCCGAACGATGAATTTTGAAGTAATAGAGATCTTTCACCTTGACACAAAAATTTTCATAGCATACTATATCTCTTTTTTCGAGCGAGTTTCTTTTATTACAATATAACATTAACTTGCAATGTGCCTCAATAATGTATACACAATAGTATATATAGATATATATATATATATATATGATATGTAAGATATATTAAAGTTTGGCAACGGTAAACTTTTTTTCATACAGGGACGATTATCTTCATATAAATAATCGTCTTTATGTTTGCGATCGAATTCTAATTATTTTAATTTCTAAATTCAACAAATTCCAAAAATTCTTTAAGAAATATAAAGATAATAGAAATACGAAAGAGACATTCAAATAATATTCTCAAAGGATCGTTTTGATCTTCGAAACGTAATGTCATTATTAAAAGAAACATTTTGGCAACATTTCAAAGGTGGGAACGTCAAATCAAAACATGAAAACCCAACACATTAATAACATAGTATATAGTAACCAGTTGTCTATCGAATAAAGGTCAATTCACAACATTTCCCATATTGTTTCTACGTTGACATAAATAATATTTACGCATTATACAATATTGGTATGAGTGAACCCTCCCCGTTCAATATCAATATCCGTGCATAGACGATAATTGCAACAATATTTTGTTACAATTGAATCGTACAATATTGAGAAAGAAAAAACGAGACTTGATGTTCTCAAGCGTATTAAACACGAACGTAGGACAAACCTAAAGTTCCTGGAATAATACTTCGAACGTATACCGACGTACGTAAAAATGTAAGTAGATACGAATATGGAATTTTGTGGATCGACCTTAACGTCAAGAAGCAAGTGACTATTGACGTAAAGAATTTTTTTTTCAACGGGTTCGAAATAATTAGAACGTTTTAATAATTTTATATCGAGCTCAAAACGGTTAAAACAATACAAATAATGAAAAATTTGGCATTTGTGACATGCCAAATGTCAAATTCGGATACAAGATTCGAAGTTTTTTTAATACGACATAAAGATATATCATAATGGCGTTATTACTTACTTAAAGAAGAAATTTACGCTCAACGAGCGAAGGAAGCAACGATAAAACGTGCTCTTCGCTCTCTCTCTGTCTTTTTCTTTTACTCTCTCTCTCTCGCTCTCTGTCTGACAAAATGCAGCACTCTAGCTGCTACCTCTCGAACCGTCAAAGACAACACTCGCACAACGTTTGGGCGACTGAAGGTGACCTTTAAGTTCCTATACTCCACCACAGACCCTGCTTAAACACTTGTTCCCCACCACATCCGATTCGATCACCAATCAACGTTCGCCGACGGACACGTTAGCCAATCGCAGGACGTTTTAAAACTCGCGCTGAATTCTTCGAATACCTTACGTAAAAATTTCGAACTTTCATCTCCTACCATCATTGGTATCGTGAAAAATGATCACTTTTTTAAGTTTTCTTATCCTATCAAGTAATCTCTTTCTTTTGACACGTTTTATAGAGAATATCGCATTTTTTTTTTTTTTTATATTGTATTAACAGACAAAACAGACACGCAATTTGAATGACGTCTTGTCAAAGCTTACAATTATCGATCGATATGTGTATGTCTATATATATATATGTATATATATATATATACTAACTCTATTCAAAAGTACAGTTGGTAGTGATTCTAAATTTATCAACGATAGACAAGTATTATTTTAACACTCATCATGATCGTATTGACTTTTTTTTAATAATTTTTTTTCTCTCTCCCTCTCTCAGAATCCGAAATGGACCATCTATAAACATGTAAATATTTCCATAAACTCTTTCCTACAATATCAATTGCGAAATAATAAAATTCTTGAGATGAGTGAGAGAGAGAGAAAGAGAGAGAAGGGGGGGTATAGAAAGACACGAAATACATCGAAAAGAAATTTTTATGGGACATTGTACGAACAAAAACTCGTCCTTCCTCTCTTCGACATTAAAAATGAATTCGTAACAAAAAAGTCCTTTTGAAAAGTTTTTGCTTTTTTTTTTTTTTATTACCAATCGCAATACATATATACATAAATACTTACGAACTTTTGTGATACTTTTCATAACAAAGTTTCATCATACTTTCGTATTTCGTCAGAAGAATCGAAATTTACCTTTTATAGACATTATAACATTTTCAAACTTATACAAAATTTTACTCCCGATAAAAATACAATATGTGATGATGATGTAATATAATTGTGAATCATAAAATTCATTCAATTCAATGTGAGAATGCATTAATTAATGGTGTCAATCGTTATGGTACCAACCAAGTCGTTCACTGATCTGCACAAGAACTTTCCTGCGTAGAGATATGGATTACGTGATGCTTCCAACGAAGTCATGTGCTGTCAGGTATTCGAATATACGTGACGATGATCTCGTAGGTCACAGCGTTCGTTCTAACTTAACCACTCTCTGACAGAAAAAAGAAACAAAAAATAAAAACTACAAAGAATGATCTCTTTTTATCAACATTTACACGAATAAAATATTTACATATACAATTTATGTTACGTCACAAAGTTAGCATCGATCGATTGATCGATTAATAATTTATTTTTCTTTTTAGATCTGTATAGATGTACAGTAATTGATTGAAACAGTGATTCTCAATCTTGTATGTTTCACGTACATTTTCCATATAAATGTGGCGTATCCCTTGTATAAGGATAATATAAAACTATGGTTATAATATAATAATGGGAATATAAGAAAAAAAAAAATACATATATATATGTATACAGTAAATTTTGTATTTAATTTATATACTTTCTCACGTGACATACCTATAACTTTTACTACGTATTATACGTTGAGAATCTCTAATTTAAAATGATATTGTACTCTATAATTAGGGTCGACAATAGAATGATCTCGAAACGAACGATTGAATCGCTTTTCTCAAAATGTTTTTTTACTCTCGATCAAAAAAGAACTTCCTTCTTTTTCTTTTCTTTCCCCTTAGAAAAAAATAAATATTTCATCCTTTATCGCGAGTCGTTTTTTGTTTTGTAACACAAGTTGAGGATCACTGCCACGAATGCGAAATCTCTCTTCGCAATGTATGTTTCTCTTTTCTTCGGAATCAAATGGAAAAAAACGCGTTTATTCAATTTAAAAAGAAAAAAAAGAATTTTCGTAAGAAAACATACGTTTAAACTATGCAATAATACAGCACGTGCGGTAATTAGATAAATATAAACCTTCATTAAAAAACATATATACAAATTTCAATTACCAAATATCATATATATATATCATATATCATGTATATATCATATATCATATATATATCATATATCATATATATATCATATATCATATATATATCATATATCATATATATATATATGTATATATATGTGCATGTTTTTTCATAAAACCACAAGTAAATACGATGTATGTAAAATGTTTTAGGTTTTCTTATCTGGACTTTGATAAAGTGTTATATGAATGGAAAAAAAAGGAAAAAAAGAACATGTTAACGATCTTTATACAAAATTTTTAATTATTTCAAAAAAAGCAAATATGAAAATAAAAATATGTGGACATTACCAAAGGCAGAACGATGTAACAACGTTTACGAAATTTGGATAAAAATTACGTAGATGTCCGTAGAGAAAATTTTACATATCGCTATTGATTACTACGATATAGCAATATAAACTTTCATGATTACCTTGAAAGAATTTAAATGATAAATGACACGTAATATCCTATTACAGAGATTATCATAAATATGAGTATTTCTCTCGTAGATATCGCGTTGATTAAATTAATTAAAATATGAGACTAACTTTACATGTTCATTAAAAGGGTTCCATAGGAGTGGATCGATCGCGAGAAAATTACCGTTTTTTAAATTAGAACTCGATCCAATAAAAGTTTCAGAAATCCTGTCCTAGAAAAAGACAAAAAAGAAAGAAAATCTGAATCCTATGAATTGATCAACGTTTCAAGTGTTTCGTGATTACGAAGGACAGATATTAGCCTTATTAGTGTATAAAAATTATTTTTCTTTTTTTTTTTTCTTCCAATCACCCTCCAATCGAAATTATATAATTCGATCGATATAATCATGTGCGTAGGATCGCTTTTTCATCTTCTTCTTCTTCTTGAATTTACAGATTTATGTTGACCTTTTACCACCCTGATGAAGGACGTTCAAGAACGCGATTACGCTATTAAGAAAAATTATTAATCAAATTCGAGAGATTCGAATTTGGTTCTTGATAAATTCCTTAGTAAATTTCATCACCCTAACATATTGACGTTACTTTTGCACAGCTTTTTTTAAATGAACTACCTATCGTAATAATATGTTATTATTGGAGGAATGAAGGGAACTATCAAAGAAAGAAAAGAGTAAGGAGATAGACTACAAAAAAAAAATAAATAAATAATAAAAAAGAAAAAGGATAAACCAAAAAAGGTGCTATGTAAAAAAAGACCAATTGCTGAAGAAAAGTGTATATAAGAGAGACCAACTGTAATTTTTTTTTTATGGTTTTTCTTAGACGTTTTATCAGAATTTATTATCTCGTGTAAACGTTTATAATAATAATTATAATTTACAATTACGATGATCGATGATAAATACAAATAGAACAACGTAATTCGGTAGGAGGGACGAAGAGGTGTTGTTTCTGGATAAGGGGAAGGGTTGTGGTTGGGGGGCCAAGAGATTTTGATGATAAACAGGGATAGGGGTAAGGGCAGCACAGGGAGCCATTTTGGAAGCGACGCTGGTTTGCTGCTAGCTTCTCGATGCCAAGCGGACAACTTTTTTTTGTCTTTTTTCTTTTTGATTGCGATATTTTTTTTTTATACCGTTAAATTCATCTCGTTATATTATTATAATAATATATTCAACACACAAACGGCCGTGTTTCAAACTTCATGGATCGAACGTTGCCATTCCCGCGCTATTGGCAAGACGACACGTGGGTGTCCGCAGATTTTCTTCTCGACTCTCTTACGATGACAATGACGATAACGATAACGATAACGCTGGCGATGGCGATAGCGATGGCCACGATGATAATGATGACAATGACGATGTCGATAACGATGGATGATAATGATAATGATGATGATGATGATGATAACGATGATAATATTATAATTTATGTATTTTTTGTGTTTCTTTGTTGGAACAACACATCTCATCCGACATACATTCGTTCGCTTCTAATCAAATTTTCATGTTTTTCGCGTTTCGCGATGTTCTATTATGGGCGTGTAAATGTGTTAATATGCGTTACGTAACTTGCCTTTTTTTTCTATTATGCGTCCGCGCGCGCATGTGTGCGTATGTGCGTGTATGTGTCAAGCGAAGGACGCGAAAAAGAAAAGGATTAAGTGGGGGAGAAAGAAAAAAGAAATTGAAATGATCAACTTGAAATCGAAAGAAACGTATTCAAATGTGTATTTGCGCATAGATAATAATTGGAAAAAAAGAGGATGAGATGAGAGAGACAGAAAGAGAAAGAGAGAGTGAGAGAGAGAGAGAGAGAGAAAGAGAGAGAAGATATATATGTCGAGAAACAAAACGTTTCTTCTTTCGAAAAGATCGATTTCGCTCATCCATTAATATTATAACAGAACGTATAAACGTATATATAATTGGTGTGTCTCTAATAAAAGGACTCATTTTCATGGTTGTTGTTTAAAAGAAGAAAAAGAAAACAAAAGAAAAAATAAATGACAATTTTTATTAAAAAAAAAAAAAAAAAAAAAAAAAAAAAAAAAATAAACAAAAAAAAATACGAAGAGAGAGAGAGAGAAACGAAAAGAACGCAAACGACGACAGCATCATACGATGACGTATTTTTGAAATTTGTTACGTCGAAGGAAATTTTTGCTATAAAATATCGTTGTGTAAGAAATTAATTACGGTCCTTATTACAAGAGCGATAGGAAATATACTATTGACTGAATGATATATATTATTATAGGACAAGCTTGACAGAGAGAAAGAGAGAGAGAGAGGGAGAGAGAGAGAGAGAGAGAGAGAGAGAAACACACACACACACACACACATATATATATATATATATTGGAAAAAAACTATAGGAGAGAAAGGCGAAGTTAGTAAAATTTTTATTTCGTAGACTTGCTGTGCAAATTCTAAAAAAAATTCCTATTTCTGTTTTAATTGTTTCATTTCTCACTCTTTCTTTCTTTCTTTCCCTGTCTGATGGAAATTTTTTTATAATATTATTAAAAAACATACCCGCTCAGTTATGATAAAAAATTATCGATAACTTTTTCTCTCCTTTTTCCGCCCTCCCTCTCTCTCTCTTACACACATTTTCTCCCTCTCTTTACATTCATTCTTTCTCTCTCTCCCTCTCTCTATTTCTTCCGCATCGGCGGTAATTTGTTTAACTTTACAATAAATTAATGTATTAATACCAATTTATGCATATTTGTGTTCTTAAATAATTGAATTCTCTTGTTTTCTCTTTCTTTCATTTAGATCCAAAAAAAATTCATTTTTACGCTTAATTATTTTCTTTTTTTTTCGCATTAACTCTTTCTTGCGAGATCATTCATATACACACACAAACACACACATGCGCGCGCGCGCGCGCACACACACACGCACGCAAATATATGCATTCACGTTTCAAACGCTATTTTACGATCTGTTAAATTCTTTTTTTCGAATAGAATCAAATTTCGTCCCCCTCATATTTTAGATCGTTCAAAGAAAAACCAATATACTGACAGATCGAAAAATGGTAACACCATGACGGTATGTAACGTTTGCTCATGTTTTTCTTTAATTTTTAATCGATTATCTTTAATTGTTTGTTTGGTAACATTTGCATAGAAACGCGCGCGCCCGCACATATACACACCCAACCTTCTCGATTATTTAATTATTTGCGAAACGTGTGTATAAAAGAGCACGCACGTATAAATATGAATATAGTTAAAACAACATACTTTTTATGACTTATTAACGATTAATACATATTATGTATTATATTTGACTTTTTTGTAATCTGCCATTTTGAAAGAAGAATAGAAAAAAATTACGAACGATGTGTTTCTTGAATATGTACTTCTCTCTCTCTCTCTTTCTTTCTCTTATTTCTCTTAAATTCTAATTTCTCTCTGGCATATTTTTTTTGTTTCATTCTATCGCACAATAACTCAATTACGCCAATTTATCAGAAACACGCTGAAGTAATGTGTTATTATATAATCGTATACTCAAATGATTCTCTATTTTTTTTTTTTTTTTTTTTTTTAATTTTTTTAAATATTTTTTTTCTATAATCAACTAAACCTCCTACCGAAAATCAATAGTTAAACTTTATAATTTTAAGATTACGAATTTTTTTTCGTTTTTTTTTCTTGTGAGAAACGATTATCAATGCGTGCGAATCACAACGAAATGATAATCTCATCCTTTCAAACTGCCCACTCTAAACCCAATGTCTAAAGAGTTTAAATTTTTTAGTCACAAGTTTTTTTTAGGGGAAGAAAAGGAGGAGAAGAAGGAAGAGGAGAAGGAAGAGCAGGTCGACTGAACGGAATGTTCCAACATTTATGTACGTGTATCATAACTCCATATACTCTCTCTCTCTCTCTCTCTCTTTCTCTTTTTCCCCTCGTTATTCTCCTTTCTTCGGCGCAAATACGATTATAACTATATGCATTAAACATTTTTTTGTCATTTTTTTTTTCTGGGACCGTATAATGATATATAGATTATATATATATATATTTATATATTATTGCGCATAACGTTTCAAAAGAGCGGTGGGAGGGTTGATTTAATAGAGGAGTGTGCGTGAGGAAAGAGTCGAGAAAATTGGGACACCCTCTACGTATTTTATCAATGTATTAATGAAGAAAAAGTTGTCGCGGTATAATTGGACGAATTACATTACATATAATGATGTATAACGCGCGTTTCTCTCGATATATTAATTCAGAAACTTCTCGATAACTTTTCTTTATTTTCTTTTCATTTTTATTTTATTCCTTTTTTCTATTTCTTTCTTTCTTTCTTTCTTTTTCTCGTCTTTTATTTTTTAAAGAGGAAACAAAATGTAGAGAGAAAAAAGAATCTAAAAAATTTCTCCTTTTTCTCTTCCCCGGTCCCATATTTTTATCTATCGCGTTTGCGCGAGCTTGTTGCGAAAACGGCCACGACGACGATTAAAAGCGAAGATCTCTTTGAAACTTCTCTTCTCCTTCTTCTTCTTCTTCTTTTCTCTCTCTCTCTCTCTCTCTCTCTCTCTCTCTCTCTCTCTCTCTCTCTCTCTCTCTCTCTCTCACTCTTTTTAAATTTTGAATTTTTTCTCTTTTCACTCATCTCGGATGATATACAGATTTTTTTCGTTTTTTTTTTTATTTTTTTTAACGATGACACAATTAGAGCACACTACTAACAATGACCGTTCGTTAAGTATTTGGAGAGAAAAAATGCGAGTATATCGCGAGGATGAACGAGTTTTTTTTTTCTTTTTTTTCCTTTTGAATAGACAAAAAAGAATGGACGATGCGAACAAAAAGAATAATAATTATACCGACGTATATGCAAGAAGATGGTTTTTTAATGAGGCGCTTAAGGTGTGGAGAGGATTTAGAAGTTTCGGGGGTAGGTTTGGGAGGAGGGATAAGAGATATATCGGTAACGTGTATACACGTATAAAATATATTAAAAAGTGTTTTAAATCAAGTCACCACTGATGTCGTTTGGAACTTAATAACTTACTGTATTTGTTTTTTTTTTCTTTTTTTTACTCTCCTTTCTCCTCCTGCGTTCTTCCCTTCGTATAATAATAATAATAATAATAATAATAATAATAATAATAATAATAATAATAATAATAATCGTACTTCCTAGACAATGTGAAATTTAATTTAATGACAACTGGATAATAATGTAGTTTAGATTCATGCGTGCTTATTTTTTTCTCTTTCTTTCTCCCTCTCTATCTTTCTTATTTTTTTTCTCTTTCGTCGCATATCATATTCTTCGAACTTTCGCGCTCCTCCTTTTCTTTGTTTTTTATCTAGCGATACTCTTGAGAGTCGGTAAAAGTAGCAAACAGATCTGGGAGTAGTGACAGTGACATTTGTGGTTGGTAGTGGTGTTGTGGTGGTGGTGGTAGTGGTGTCGTCTCATGTTATTATATTATTCGCATTTCGTGTCTCGTCACGACGCGCAGAAAGTTACAAACATTTTCTTAACATTCACTCATTCTCTCCCTCTCTCTCATTCTATCTCACTCATTCATTCTTTCATTCCAACGCGTGGACACATATAGGCAACATACACAAAAAAGACGCACAGAAGAAACACGCTTTCTTTCTTGTATCTTAGAGCGATTTTAAAACTGACATCTTGAATTTTATTTTTCCGTCACCACCAAAGATTCTCTTTTCTCTCTCTCTCTCTCCGTCTCTCTCTCTCTCTCTCTCTCTCTCTCGTCTCTCCGTCTCTCTCTCTCTCTCTCTCTCTCTCTCTCTCTCTCTCTCTCTCTCTCGATGTTTCTCTCCGTAATTAGAAATTCTTCTCCCTCTTTTCACGCTCCTCCAACACACATTATATATATAGTGACGTTAATACATATATGTGTATGTGTGTATATATAATATATATATTGCGTTTATTTTCTTACTCTTTCGCTTCTTATACGCTATCTCTCTCTTCCTCAGACGCAAAGTTTCATCAAAGAGACATACAACGAACGACGAGACAAGATCTGCGAAAATACCCTCTGTTTCTCTCTCTTTCTATTTTTCTTTATTTCTTCCTGTCCTTTTCCCTTTCTGTGTAATTTTTTCTCTTTTATTTATCATTGTTATTATTAACTCATTTCTTTTTGCGTTTCATCATTCACAATTTTACCGCTTCCTGTTTTCCTTCGTTCAGATAAATATTATACGGGGATGTAGTGTGGTTAAACACTTTTGAGAGACTTCGTGCCAAAAACCCCCAAGAGGATCCATTTTAATGACATTCCATTTTTTTTCGTACCATTTCTTTTCGTCGCGAAACACAACGATACCAACAAACAAACGTTATATGCTCGTACAACGCCGTGAGCCCCCAACCGTGAGAGTAGGAGAGGGGAGCTGGCTTACTATTACATACTTCCTCTTTCTCTCTCATTCATTATTACATTCATTATTACATACTTTCATTCACTCATACGTTCATTCATTCGCAGTCGTTCGCTTTCCTTTCTTTCTCTCACTTTTTCTTTCTTTCTTTCTTTCTTTTTTTCTTTCTTTCTCTCGTTCGTTCGTTCGTTCATTGCTCGTTCAACACATTTGCCCACTTTTATATATCTTTCGACCATCTGTTCTCTTTCTCTTTTTCTCTCTCTCTCTCTCTCTCTCTCTCTCTCTCTCTCTCTCTCTCTCATATCGCTCTTCTTTCCCAATTATATATAACAATGTTTCATTGTCCCGCATATGGATATAGTGATAATAGAGAGATGTAGCATTGTGTGTATATGAGAAAGAGAGAAAGAGAGAAAGAGAGAGAGAAAGAAAGAAAGAGAGAGAGAGAGAGAGAGAGAGAGAGATAAAGAGAGAGCAACATATTGAGGAGGAGGAAGTATGCGATGTGTTGTATTTCACTTAGACGAAAGGACATGGTCGAGAATCATTTCTTTCTTTCTTTTCTTTTTTTGTTTCTCCCCTTTTTTTAAATCGATGATATAGAAGAGAGGCATTGCGTTCGGAGCTATTATCGAGCCGAATGTAGTATAGCTGTGGCGACGGCATCGGCAACATTATTATGATGTGCGGATGTGATGTTGATGTTGTTGCTGTTGTTGTTGTTGTTGGCGGGACATTAGACAAGGAGATTTTTTAGTTATCGTAGAGAAGAGAAAAAAAGGATTTGGAGCATTGTTTCGAAAGTGTGGCAAAAGGAGGGAAGATAGAAGAGGGCGTAGGAGATATACGGACAGTATAAGGGATGTTGGATGAGGAGGGTAGGAGTGATGGATAGGGAACAAAGGTTGAGGGAAGGAAGGTAGAAGGAAACGCGAGGACGAAAAGAAAACAGGTGTGAATGAATGGATGGATGGATGGAGATACGGGGTGGATGGAGATGGGTGAGCACTTCAAGGGACGGGGGAGACGATAGAGAATAGGATGCTCTTATTAGATTAGAAAGGACTTAAGCTTAGGAAGGTTAGTTGTCGCCGCCCTCCTGTGGTTCGTCCCCGTCGCCCTGCGTGTCACTGGTCCAAAGAGTAAGGTTGTCACGCAGCAACTGCATAATCAGCGTGGAGTCTTTGTAGCTGTCCTCATTTAATGTGTCCAGTTCCGCGATCGCATCGTCAAATGCCTAAAAAAATAATAATTGCATTTTATTATCATTGGTTTATAATTTAACACATTCGCTGTAAATGTAACAATTAACGAAATTGTTTATTGTTGCTGTAGTGCCATTATAATTAGTTTTTCCACCGTTCGGCGTCATCGACTAAAAAAGGGGGAAAAAAATGCACTTAACAAAGATATTTATTTTTGGAGATGCAGCGAATGTGTTAATTAATAAAGAAAATCAATATCCGATATATTTTATCGATTACTATCAAAGAAAATCATTGTTAGATAATTATAAATCGTAGTACGTGCATGGGGATATTCATTTAAATTATGATAGTATTATTGCATTATATTATTATCTTTTGCGACTTAAGGTGAGTTAATAGTGGTACAGTGGGTGAGAGAGGAAAGAAGTACTGTTATTACGAGACTATCAAAAAAAAGAAAAAAGTTAATGATAGTTTGAAATAAAACAAATAAGATGATATATATTGCATGAATAGTAATCATTGTTAAGATATAAATTCAAGTATATATATATATATATTACAAAGCGATTACATATGAAAAAAAACTATGTTAGAGATAAATCAGGGATTATACAATACTGAATTGTAGAAGATCGATAAAGTTTTTGCATGGCAGAAATTTTCGGGTCATCAAATCAGCGCGCGCTCGGTACACACACAGAGACAGGCACCCACATAAAATGTTCCATTAGATATTATTATATTGTACAAATAACAATATGATCAATAAGTCATTCAAACAAACTCTAAAACAAAAAACTGAACAAACAAAATGATTCTTGTTACCCCTGACCTGTTTGGCCAAATGACAGGCCCTAGCGGGGGAATTGATAATTTCGTAATAAAAAACGGAGAAGTTGAGGGCAAGGCCAAGCCTGATGGGATGTGTAGGCTGCATTTTTGCTTTCGCTATATCGAACGCCTCCTGATATGCCTTCTGTGAATCATCGACTACCGCTGCAATGTAAATCACAGAGAAAGAGAGACTATTGAGATACTATATCATTTTCACGATCTCTATTTGTATTACGTGTCAGTTTATCGTTAGAAGAAGGAACAAAAATGGAACGTGAGAAAGAAGAAAAGTAAGTATGTTATAAATAAGAAAAAAGAAAAATCAAATCCAATGATGGCATGCCAATGTTAAAAAGAAATTCGCGAGGACAAAATTATCTTCTCGTTTGGAGAAACCACGACCACCAACATCACCCACAACCACTGCACCATCTCACCATGAATTATTCAGTCGCTCATCTCAAGCTAAAATGCTGTAAAAACGTATAAAAATATCGATTAAGTGTTATTGTCTTATTTTTTTTGTTATACCTGTTTGGCCAGCTGACAGGCCTTATCTGGTGAGTTGAGGATCTCGTAATAGAAGACCGAGAAATTTAGAGCTAGACCTAGCCTGATCGGATGGGTGGGTTGCATCTTTGACTTGCTGATATCGAACGCTTCCTGGTACGCCTTCTGGCTATCATCTACCACAGCTGTATATATATACGTAGATGACAATCAAAGATGAGTTTTGTTAGATTGGTCAGAAATATCATAGATTAAGGAATTATTGATTTAAACAATACAAATTCAGACATAAGCAGAGAGAGATATTATACAAACGCATACACACACTTTTGTTTTCATGCTAAAAAAAACTATACTATCCAACTACTCTTTGGTATCTTTGTTTGGCGCGACATCTGTCGGATAATATTATTTTCTTTTCAGGTAGGCTCGACTTGAAGGAAAGAAGAAGAATTGCACAAAATAGTTTCACAATGGTATATAAAAAAAAATATTTATCTTCGAACAGTTTCATTAGTGTTCCTACATACGGATAATTCATTAAATTCCAAAGAGTAGTTTTCTCTTAACGAAACAATTTCTTTTCCTTCCTTTTCTTGTTACTCGTATATAAATAAATAAATATATATATATATATATATATATATATATATATATATATATATAAAAGAAAAAGAAAAACGGAAATTGGTGAGAAAGTTTGCAATGGCAGATGGAATTCTTGCGTTAATAATTACCGAATATTCTTCGTGTTGTTTATAAGTTTCTTAAGAAGTTATTTTCAAGGATTAATTATACGCGAAGAGAGCACAGCTCAACCAGAAAGGATATCTTTAATCGAAAACATCTGCCAACGCAACGGACTCACCCAGCTGCCGCAGCCATTGCTGCGTTTTCGTTTCACCTTTAAAGAAAAAAAAACCTGAACGGCGTTTCGTAAAAGACCCACTTTTGATCTATATCTCTCTCGAAACAATAGCATATGTTTGTATGTGTATACATATATATATGTACACACACTAGTATGCCCTTTATCAATTTAACTTGAACCGACGATCACAGCCCTCGATCTATTTTATCATACTTTTATCAAATTTTTCAGATTTGAGATTGAAGTATAAAAAAAAAAGCACAATCCCAATTTGATATATTGTTATAGACAAATTCAAGATACAGTAAGGATCGATTTTCGAAACGTTTGTTAAGAATGAGTGACAGAAAAAGAGATCAAAAAGTGATTAGTAATAAATATGATAAAAGTGGTCCTTTTTTCTTTTTAATTTCCTTCTCTCTCGAAAATCGTGATGCGTCATTGTCCTTATTAAATAGACAATGAACACATGTATTTCGAGAATTGTTTTCGAGAGTTATTTTTTTTCCTTTTTCTTTCTTTCTTTCTTTGTTTTCAAGTACGTACCGTTCCTGGTTTCACCAGTGGCAACTTCTGCGAGATACCTGTAATAATCACCCTTCATCTTGAGGTAGAATACTTTGCTTTCGGCGTTGCTAGCTTTAGGGATCAGGTACTTGTCTAAAAGACCCTGAAAAATGAAATAAAAAAAGAAATATTATAAAGAATGAATTTACCCTATCTCGAAATCAATGAAAAATATATTTTTTTTGGGATACTGTATGTTATATACAAATATTTTTATATTTGTATAGTATTCAATCAAAGAGAAAAAAAAATTCGAATAAAGGATAAAAAAAAAAAAAAAATTAAAACAAAATATCCTCTATAGTTTGTTACGAATCGTAGGAAGATAGAAAAAAAATTATTGTTATTCTTGAAAATGGCGTGAAATTTAAGAACAAAAAGAAATATATATAAAAGAAAGAAATAACCATAAAAAAAGAACTAATGTTTAAAGTAGACGATACACACATACATGTAAAAAAAAGATATTTTGCGTAAATAAGATTGAAATAAATTGCAAGTAACGTTGGTCGATAAATATAAAGACAGAAAATCGAGTTAATCGTTCGCGACGTTGAAATATCGAATTTATCGACTGACATAATAAATTACAATATACGACATCGCTGGAAGGACACACACATAGTCAGTATCATGGTAATACTAAATGACGCTTCGAATAATACTCGTGGCGTTTTAATCGATGACAAGGAATACAGATATACACCTATTGCAAGTTATCGAGGAGGAGTGGTATATGAGAAAACCGGGAAATGAGTATCATTGAAATAATAAACCACCACGTGTTTAATAAAGAAAAAACAGGAGATGGGATAGTCGTATTAGCAGTTAAAAAGCTTAGACATCTCGTCGATACGTTAGCTACGGATATTAAACGACGTTGCTGCTGCAGTTATCGAACCTTGCTCCAGTTTTGCCGCCCTTTTACATATAATATGTATCTACCAAACAACACGTTATATTTTGAGTACGTCAAACCCAAATCTGACCTACTTCTCACAGAGAGCGTTTAATTAACACCCGATTTTTCCAGATCTCGAACGTGTATGAATGTGTGTGTTGAGAGAGATAGCGAGAGAGAGAGAGAGAGAGAGAGAGAGAGAGAGAAAGAGAGAGAAGTAACAGCTAATTCTTTGTTAGGGCATGTGTGAAATGCACTCTTTCTTTTTTTGTACACACACACGCCACACACACACACATATATATATACACACACACACACACACACACACAATATTAAGCAGGATGATGGATCATCCGTTACTTCGAACACGAAAAAAAAAAAAATTAAAAATGAGAAAAAGAAAGAAAGAAGAAAGGTTTCTCTTGTCGACATAAGAGAGAGAGAGAGAGAGAGAGAGGAGAGAGAGAGAGAGAGAGAGAGAGAGAGAGAGAGAGAGAGAGAGAGAGAGAGAGAGAGAGAGAGAGAGAGAGAATGTGTTACATGTAAAAGAGATGAAATCGACAATCGATATTCTCTCGGTTAATTTCGATCCCTTTGAAGGAAGGAGGGTTTCCGTTATAGAACGTTGTCTTCCACTTCCGGTAAGAAGAATACGATCATTCTGAAGAGAATAGACCGTGCTCTCTTCCGAACGGAATCTATTTTCGATTTCAAGGAGGGAGAGGGAGAGGGAGAGAGAGAGAGAGAGAGAGAGAGAGAGAGAGAGAGAGAGAGAGAGAGAGATATCGTAGGTTTTCTCGAACGTGATTAAATTGAGACGATAGAAAACTAATTGACACATTATAATTAAAATAAAATCCAAATTTTCTGCGACAATGTCGAACACAAAAATTTCTTCTCAATATATTTATATAATATATTTTGATAATACACAAAAATAAAGTGATAATCAATTATTAATTCGTAGATCAAAACTGAAGAAAAAAAAAAAAAAAAAAAAAAAAAAAATGGTTGAAATTTTGATATATGTAAGATGGATCAAAAGGTTCTTATTAGGTCATCTTAACTATCAATTACTCTTCATCGCGATTTTTTTTAGGCTAATTTATTTACTTTTTTTTTTTTGTTTTAGATCGTAAAACTATAAGCTTAAATACTTTGAAAAAGATCATTTAAGAAGAGACATTTTGACCCTGTCCTGTAGTCATAATTGCTTTTTTTCTTTTTTTTTTTTTGATGCGCCAGAGAGAACACCACACTTGCTTTTTCGATTGGGAACAGCGGAAGTTGGAAGTCTGTCGACACTGAGGAGATCGATGTCTTTATAAGGAGGAAATCTAGTTCTTTCACATCAGAGAAAATCTCGTTTTTCCTTCTTGGAAAACGTCCTTCTCGGGTCAACGACAGGTTACTTAATGATTAATACAACGATTTCCTCTAACATTTACGAGGCGAATATAGCAAAGAGTAAGCTGCATCAACGTTCTCCTTTCCTTCTTGAAAGTGCCAGCAGAATTGTTAAATGGGCGATGTATCCATCGATCGATCGTTTTTAAAGATTACGGATGTACATGAAAGGAAGTAGGCGTATCCTTATAAATGGAATATAAAGTAATACTAATATTACATACAAAAAAGAAGGAGGGAAACTATTAGATTGACCAATAAATATTATCGGGGAAAAAATTCCCTTAATATCTTATATTGTTTTTAAAAATTTTTTTTTCAAATACAAAATAATGAGTACGAGCTATATTAATCACTGTCTAATGTATCTATTGAGTTATCGAGCGAACAGATAATATAAGAATTTTTTTTTAGTAGTTAAAACTAATTTTTTAATAAAATTATTGACAAACTTTTACAGTTATTGACCGATGCACATAGGAAAAAAGCGAGAAAAATGTGGACTTTTCACGATGAAAAGATGTGTATATATATATAAATCTCAAGTGGTTTTGTTGACTTGTATAAACAAAAAAATAAATAAATAAAAAAGAAAAAAAAACGAAAAAGAAAAAAAACGAAAAAGAAAAAAAAACGAAAAAGAAAAAAAAACAAAAAAGAAAAAATATATTGAATGAGATTATACACTTCGTGTGTGCCGTACTTTGAAACCCGTTTGGGAAGTATCACTTGTCGTCGGTCTTTAGCGTGCGCGTTCCCTTCGGATCGACTTACCACAATGAGATCTTCTTCTTCAGTGTCTCTTTTGAGATAATATATATTAGAGGAGAATATAGAAGAGAAAAGATCACTCTCATCAGATTGAATTTCAAGGATCTCGATTACGCGACTATCTACCCACCTACCATACTACTATTACTACTACCACTATTCTCCCTTTTTCTTTGAATTACGCGCTCAAGATACCGACCCGAGCAATCTCTAACGGTATCTGTACTAACTAAAGCGACTATTCATAAAAACAAAAATATGTACAATGACGAAACGAAGCAATAAAAAAACAATGTAAATGAAATAATATATATTAAATTAAGATAAATAATTAGTTGATTATTTATTTTTTTATTTCATTCTATTTTATTCCATAAAAAATGTTATTATGACATAGATAAGTTTTTATCAATCCAATATTTAAGTCATCGAACAATCCTTTAGAAAATTTGTATAATAACTAAATAATACGCTAATATGCTCTTCATATACGTATTTTTCTACACATATATATATATATATATATAAATTTTTTTTCTAAATGTACACTAAACCCGAATTTTTTACAATTTGAAAAAAAATAAATAAATAAATAAACAAAAATAAAAAAGGGCTTTAAATTTTGAAAAAGAGAAATTTTTAAAATAACCTAGGAATTTTTGATCCATTTTATAATAAAAATTTCGATAATATTTATTGACCAACACCTTATATATATGCATATATTATATATATAATATATATACATATATATATTAAATATGTTTATATATTATTAAATGTGTCACCCTTAGTTTACCTTTGATGCACGTATTTTATACATGGTTAATCTCAAAGAAGGACGTGCGCGTATATTTCTGTTTAAGAATCAATAGAACGCGTTAGTACGCTAAGTAAAAAAAAAAAAAAAAAAAAAAAAAAAAAAAAAAAAAAACTCGTATGTTAAGCTTTTGTAACAACGCCAAACGTATTTGACCTATGACACAACTCTATCTCTCTTTCTCTCTCACCGAATTCCAAAAATACTTTTAGAGACAAGGATCATTCCTAACGATTACGCGACGACAAGAAAAATATTTCTGAACTATTTTCCATTCACGTAGCAAAAATTCAAAGAATGTATCTTATAAGAATTTTCTAACTTTGTTCAACACAACAGCAAAAGTTATTATTTTATCAAATCGACCTCAAATTAATTTTGTCGATTTAATGGTCTCTCAACGACTAAAATATCGATAAAAATTAATAATGTCACGTAATAAATGACACAAATTATTCATCATTATCAAATGAAATAAAACATTTAAAAAATTAATAGCTTCTGCCATCAATGACAATCATCATGAATAAATGGATAAAATTACAAATTAATTTATTAACTCTCTACATAACAACTTTCATATCACATATATTCATATCTATATCTTGTTTTCTTTTTTCTTTTTCATTCCTTCACCATAAAATTAATTGTTAGCTCATAACCAAAAAAGATTAATATTTGTTTTCGAGATTTATATATATATATATATATATATATATATATATATATATATATTTTTATATAATAAATGTATTTTTTTTCTAGACACGAACACAAAAATTGAATTATAGAGGGATTATGATAAATTATAGAACGTATAAACAGACATATAAAATAAAAAATAAAAAAAAAAAAAAGGAAAAAAAAAATAAGGAACAGGAACTAGTGTAATAGGTTTGCAAATGGAACTCTGCAAACTTTCGATATATTGTATGATGTTTGACGTGTTAGACGCCAATAACGACATCTGACGTTAAAACGGCGTAACTCATCGCACGTTTCCTTTTTTACATTTCTCTATAGTCATCTTCCTTTGTAAGAAACTGTATATATATGTCTCTGTTGGTGCGTTATAATAAAAGCCACTACTAACTGAACGATAAAGCTTAAATAGCGATCGCTGCTGTGCAAACACAATATACAACGTATGTATGTAAGTAGAACGACGAACATGTAAGAGAGTTTATATTAAAAGGGTATATATAATCTAGTGTAACGAACGCGCATTTAAAACAATTTCTTTTCCTTTCTCTCTCTCTCTCTCTCTCTCTCTCTCTCTCTCTCTCTCTCTCTCTCACTCTCTCATTTCTCTATCGTTTCTATGATATATGTAATTAACAAATAGGTATATGTGCATATAAAAAGACATTTTTCCTAATAAGGAAAGATATTATTATTATTATTATTATTATTATTATTATTATTATTATTATTATTATGAACGTTAGATTATCCTACTTAAAATGCATTTAATATCTGTTTGTGAAATATATTACAAGACCGACCCATCTAATAACATATATACGCGTCTATTCAACAAAAGGAGTGTAATTTTCTATTAGTTTTAAAACTGTTAATTTTCTCAAATACTCTACATAATAGATACACACACACACACACATACACACACACACTAGAGAGAGAGAGAGAGAGAGAGAGAGAGAGACATACACCTAATGTACTATTTTAAAACTATGTACCAACATTGACTACAAAGTCAAATAGGACGTATGTTTATATGAATCTTTTTTTTTTTTTTAAATTTCATTCTACCGAAGCCAGCACTAAAATATTACCCACTTATTCTGAGATATCCACATAACACAAGTTTTTAACTCTCTATAACTTAATTTTTCTTTACGTGGAATATGACTAAAAAAAGTATGCTATATTTTTAACACCCGGTATATATATATATATATATATATATATATATATATATATGTATGTATGTATGTATGTGTAATATCATCATATTGTATCAACTATAAAATCGACGAAAAAAATATATTAAAAATTTCGTAGATAAACTAACAAAGAATTTTACAGTAATAAAATAAAATAAGATTAAAAAAAAAAAAAAGAAAAAAAAAAATTAAGATACGTACATGTGTACATATGCATATACCTTAGGCATGTGACATTTGAAAGTTTCACGACGTTTTATATAGCAGCGTTTCTCAACTTATGGGCCGTATTAAATTTTTAATTAGACTCCGCGTAATGATAGCTTCTATTCTCTTTCAGGCCAAAACGAACAAAATGATAAATTTGTTCAGAGAATTCGTGAAAGTTCTTGAATCTATGTTCTCTAGAACATTCTTGGGAAGAATTCTTGCGAGAATATCTGCAGTAATAGAGCCATGTTATCTTTAAAATAACATCTATGAAGAAATGACTCCCAGAGGTTTAATGAATTCTTAAATATAATATTTCTTTTTGTATTATAAAACATTAGGCTGACCATAGGGATGATATCGTTACAAACAAGTTTAATATATATATATATATATACGCTGCTATAGAAGGGATTATAATCAGATTATAAAAAAGATCGATATTTAAAAAAATAAGGATTAAAAAAAGTGCTTACACACTCTTACGCTTTTACGTCAGAGACGTCAGGGATATACGTCACATGTGGTATTATTACAAACAAATCTTATAATGTATTGGGACGTATGACAAAAAAAAAAGATTGAGAAACGCTGCTGTAGAGGAGGGATTGCAATTATATTGTAAAGATCGATATTTCGAAAAAAAAGAAAGAAAAAAAAAAAGAAGAAAAAGAGTTCTTACCTTAACCTCAGGTATATACGTCATAGACTATGAATTTCTAAGGCAGAGATAGATAGATAGAGAGAGAGAGAGAGAGAGAGAGAGAGAGAGAGAGAGAGAGAGAGAGAGAGAAACAGAGAGAGAGAGAGAGAGAGAGAGAGAGAGAGAGAGAGAGAGAGAGAAACAGAGAGCAAAGATAAAGGATGGATATATATGTTTTTGAGGCAACAGCTCACATATATACAGGGACAACAGACGGACAACAACAACAGGACGGTCGGACACACATTTGGTTCTTACCAGAACATCGTAGCAAATTTCACGTAGTTCTTTCTCCACCTTTTCCCGATACTCCTTCGCCATCTGTTGTTTGCGTTCGGAGCCTTCGGTCTTTTGCTCAATAGATGAGATTACTCGCCACGAGCTACGTCTCGCGCCAACGACATTCTTATACGCCACTGAGAGGAGGTTCCTTTCCTCATTCGACAGCTCAACTCCCGTCTCGGTGACGGATTTCATTGCGGCTGCCATGTCATCGTACCTCTCCGCCTGTTCGGCGAGCTTCGCGCGCTGCACCAATTCCTCTTTGTCTACGGACATTGTGTCGGCTGTAAAACAATAAAAGAATGACATTTATTACTTTTTAATAATGATGATAATAATAATAATTTAATTTAATTTGATTTAATTTAATTGGATTTAATTTAATTTGATCTGGTTTCATTCGATTTGATTTAATTAAATCTTTGAACGCGATCTTTTCTCCCTCCCCCTCCTAATTTCATTGCGTCCGAGTTTCACGCGTGAAAGAGAAACGAAAATATAAATTTTCTATTATTTCTCATATATGATACTGGACTAAAGAATAAAAATAATTGGATTCAGAAATATGACACAATGGCAAATGATCATTCTTGTCAATTCTCCAAATACGACTAATATAAGAGTATTATAAGTAAATTTGTATTGTCATTTCAGCGTGACGTGCAAATTAAAAGTATTTAAAATTAAAAAGAAAAAAATGAATAAAAAGTAATGTCATCGTCGTTTGATGAATATAAGCGTACACACACACACACACATATAAATATTATTTATTAAATGTACACAAACACAATTTATTACTTTTTAACGATGATAATAATTTAATTTAATTTAATTGAAAATCGAAAAAAAACAAGAAATTAATAAAATACCATTTATTAATTTTAATAATAATAAATAAACTAAACATGATAATTCAACAAATAATATTATGATAAATATGACTGTATGTATACTTAAGATCAGACACAATTTTATATATATATATATATTTATATATATATATACAAAAGTTTCTAATGTAGAAATTTGTATACGCACAAAAGACGTAAAAGATTTTCGAATGATTCATCTTGTGCTCTTGACTAAACACTTTTTCTTTACCATCCCTCTCACTTCGTATTCTAAATATAAAAGACTCCTACGGTGGAACTTGGAATTCCGGTCAGCTGCTGGATGATCCTTCGACAATCTTTACAACTCAGGTATCGATACATAACAAAAGAAAAAAAAGGAGAAACGGTTCCCCATCGAGATACCCAGATAACGAATCTTTTTTCCAATAATTTTTGAAAAGTTTCAAATTCTGGAGCCGTATGTCCAAAGGTTTTAAAAATCGATTACTTTTTCTTACATTTTCTCACGTAATTTATCAAAGGATCTCTCATTTCTAATATAACCCCCCAAAAAAGTTCACACACTGAGAGACATTAATTAATTAATTAACGTAAAAAAACAAAAGTATAGTCATCGAAGTGTATTCGGTTCGCTGATCTTAATTTTTTCTCTTTTCTCTCTCTCTAAAAAAAAAAAATTCTTGTTGCTTCGATACGTAATCTTAAATACGATATTAAATATGAATAAATGTAACATTTATTCATATTTAATATCGGTCATCGAAGATGCACGTAATCGACCCAAAATCTTCGATCTTCATCTTTTCCTCTTTTTTTTCCACGCTTAAATGATCCTGGTCATGAGGGTAAAAAAAATGAGATTACCAAAATGAACAAAGAAACTAAATAGAAAAAGAAAGTGAGAGAAAGAGAGAGAAAGAGAGAGAGAGAGAAAATTCCAAAAATTTCCTCCGCTCAACGCGTAGAATCCAATTTAGGCACGATCTATCTATATATTATAAAGATCCGACTTTCTTTTTTTTAACTAAGTGTCACGATATATAAAAATAAATTTTTGCTGAAAAAAATCTCCAAGAAGGCTAATTGATTTTTTTGTTTAAATCATCTATAAACTTTTGGTCTACCGAGTATATAGTTTTCGACAATAATAAATGAATATGTATATATCTCGATATGTTATTACAGAAAAGACGCTATCCTTCTTATATGAAGTTCATACAGATATTTATAACACTACAGTGAAAGAAAAAGAAGAGTGAAAGAGAGATTAAATCAAATCATAGATTATACACTGTGGATAAGACATCAAGATTGTAATGTCGGGACTTAATATCTTCGAGTTTCGCGATCAAATCGCTTTACCTAAGAACTCGATCTGTCCAGTAGTAGTAGTAGTAGAATAGTAGTAGTAATAATAGAATAGTAGTAATAGTAACAGTAATAACACTTGACACAATCTTACGTTTATCAGATTAATTATTTCCATGTTAATAATTAAATGCTTGTTATCTATCATTAATGGAAGAAGAGATAGTGCATCAATAAAATAAAAAAAAAAACAGACTACAGAAGTCAAAATTTAATATCACACATGCGTAAAATAAAAAAAAATAAAAAATAAAAAAACAATTTTCCAAAGATAACGAAGGTTAAATACTATTTTTTTGATACACTATCTTCTATTCGTCACGCTTGAAGAGATCTCTTCTTTTTCTTTTTTCTTTCTTTCTTTTTCTTTCCCCTATACACTAATATCCTTGGACTCTTCTTTCTTAAACCCTACTTATATGCGTAGGCATATTTGGTCTCGCACAAACACATAGTGCTAAGATTCCTGGTACATTTTAACCTCGTACAGTTTCCAAGACGATAAATCATGCTTTAATCTCAACGATTCGGTATGTACCACGAATTATACTCACGCATATACATATATTTGTATAGGGTGTCTCTAAAATTCTCATGTAATTTTTAAAAATCAATTAATATTTTTTTTCAGATTGTAAAAATGCAAAACTAAAATGTGATAACACAAAAAACTACAGGCCAAAAATCTCGAAAAAAAATGTAATCGATTTTTTAAAATCATCTGGGAATTTTTGACCCACCTTGTAGATGTGTATATATATATATATATATATATATATGTTGTTCGATCGATAATTCTCGTTAATTTTACTCGAAAAAAAAAAAAAATAAATAAATAAAAAAGAAACATGAGATAATAAATAAAAAGATAACCTTTAAGTATTTCGATCAAATTCAAAAACTTTATTATCACTAACCTATCGAATTTTAAGAACGGTAAGATCATGTTGGTCGATAAAATGAATTTTAGTAAATTTCTTCGAAAAACAAAAAAGCTCGATTTCTTTCAAAAAAATTTACTTTTCCATTTACTTACAAGACAGATAAAAAGTTAACGTGATAGATAGCTAATCATCTCAAATGAATCACGGGATTACTACTATAGTACTACTACGAAATATACATAGGAGTTAGTCACGAGTATGTATTCCGATGTGTTTGTACGCACGCACGCACGCACGAACGCACACGACACGTTCATTCCACGTGTTTGATTTGCAATCGCGTGACAATGACACGCCCAAAAAGCAAGCGAGAGAGAGAGAAAGGGAGAGAGAGAGAGAAAGGGAGAAAGAGGGAGAGAGAGAACCGGTCGATTCGATACGCATGAACGAAAAGCAATGTCTTCGTTGAACGGCTGCGTAATTGATCCTTGGTATATGCTAACGATAAATGCAACGATGATGATTCATCGCTTTGAAATGAGTTGAACAATAATTAAACGAAAAAAGAAAAGCAATAAAAAAACAAGAAAAAATAAAAAGAACTGAACGCATGCGTAAGGCGCCATTTTTTTTAAATGGCCGTCCTCTCTCGGCTAGCTTCGAATAACGTTCGAATTGAAATGATGACTCCAACTATACTTAAACAGAAATAGGGGGAGGAAAAAAAGAAAGAAAAAATACAAATAAAAAAGAAACAAAAAAAAATTAATGAACGGAACGTACTCATGTAGGAAGCCATTTTTAAAAATGGCCATCCCCTCTGAGAAAGCTTCAAATGCCGTTGTGTTCAAAGCTGATACATATATCCTCGACGATGTAATTTCCTTTTCCGCTCGATAATCATAGTTTTCCCGATAAATTCATTGTCGCTACAAAGAGCGTGAGAAAAACGAACGTTAGTTCAAAAAAAAAGAAAAGAAAAAGAAAAAAAAGAAAAAAGAAAAAAAAAGGAAAAAAAAGGGAAAAAAGGAGAAAAAAAAGAATTAAAATAAAATCAAAAGCAAGCGTCATCGGTTATTCACAGATTGCACACATGTGAGAGGGGTTATAGACGCACATTTCGAGCTTGACCTGACGGTCAATAAATCGTTTGAAAATTGCTAAAGGATAGAAGGACGAAAGGAAGGGAAGGAGAGAGAAAGAGAGAGAGAGAGAATGTTCAATTACCTGGAATTCAAGGAATCGATCGTGAACAAGCATGTACACACGCGCGCGCGCGTACTCACATACGCATGCACACGCATGCACACATTTAATAGAGAGGAAGAAGCGTCAAGTGTCCTCTGTGTGATGAATCACACGGTTATTGCAAAGAGTCTATGGACGCGCTCTCTTTCTCTCCCTCTCTTTTTCTCACATATAGGTATGGCGTATTAGCGATATAAGAAAGAAAGAAAGAGAGTTGTATATAAAGTGCCCACACAGTTTTCTCAATGAACCAAATAATTGTACTCAAGGATGAAAAGTATAGAAGTACGCCGGATATTGTGTCACCTGCGACCTGGTAAAGAATGCAAGACCTATCGGACACGCACTGAGAGACATCATCCAATACATATAAATGAATCGTTCAATCTAGACATTCTCGAGTAAGTTGATTATTGTTAGCCTCGACCTTGTCCGAATAAAAAAGAAAGATTAAAAAAAAAAAAAAAAAAAAAAAAAAAAAAAAAAAAAAAAAAAAAAAATTTAATTAATTTCTCACATTGTCCTAGTTAATTATGTATAATTTATACAATTTTCGTCATATCGTCAATGATTTTAAAATCACTTGGCGTAAATAAAAATCTGATTGACCTAGAAAAGTTAATAGGAAATTTTTGATGAGTGATAAAAAGAGAAAAAAAAATGTACACAAAAAAACTATATATATATACATAATATAATATAATACTATTTCAACAAGACGCATTTCAAATTGATCAAAGAAATTATATCGATAGCAAAAATCTATAAATAATAAAAAAAAGGAAAGAGAAAAAAGGGTGACAAAAAAGAAAATTTTATTTTCGAAGATCGGTGCGAAGTAGACATTAATTTCAATTTTGAGATATATCGAAAAATCTCCTCGATTTCTTCCTCGTAATTTCTATCTAATATTATTGCAATATATGA